ACCCTACCTGCTCGAGCCGCGCCTCTGCACCCTGCGCGCGGCCTGCTGCTGCCCTGCGCGCTGCCTGAGCTGCCTGCGCCTGCTTTGAGCGCCGCCCTTGCTGCTCACGCCCTTTGCCTGCTGCCTGCTGCCTACTGCCTTTGCCTACTGCCTTTGCCTGCACTGCGATTATGGCGACACTTAATGTTCTCGCGTTTGAGCCTGACGGTCGCCCGATAGAGTTCGCCACGTGGCTCGACGATCTCCAACTGTTTCTTCTGACTGATGACAAAGACGGCGTTTCACTGTTCGATTACGTGTCTGGCACTGCCGTTGCTCCTGCTGATGATGCTAACGCTCTCGAACGCTCACAGTGGCAGACTCGCGATGCTGCTGCACGCCTAGCTATTCGAAATCATCTGCCGATCACTGAGTGCGCGCATTTCAGCCAGCACAAAACTGCTAAGGCACTGTACGACGCTGTAGTTGCGCGCTACTCCTCCCCGGCCACTGCAGCCCTAGGTCGGCTCATGCTACCCTACCTGTTCCCCGACCTGTCCTCGTTTACCACTGCTGAGGACCTCATTTCTCACCTTCGCACTAGTGACACTCGCTTTCGTGCCGCCCTTCCAGCCGAGTTCTGCGCCGCAAACCCCCCCCCCCGATGTACTTCACTCTCTATTTCCTCGTCACCCGCCTCCCTGACACTCTTAGCTCCGTCAGGGACCACTTCCTAGCCCTAGACCCTACCACTCTCACTGTCGCCGACTTCAAGAAGCACCTCCTAGCAGCAGAGAAGAACATCCTCGCTGTAGGTGCTGCTCGTGGTACTCCTCGCTCTCCCCTCTTTGAGGGGTGCTCCCCCTCCCCTCTTACCCCCTCCTACGCCTCCGCAACTGCTGCTGTCGACCTCCTTGGTGCTGAGAAGGTCGCAGCTGCTTCCGCTCCTAGTGGGAAGCGCAGCGGCTCCAGGGGAGGCAGTGTTGGCAGGGGTGGCGGACGTGGTGATGGAGGGGGCGGTGGTGGAGGCGGCGGGGGAGGTGGAGGTGGTGGGGGTGGTCGTGGGGGTGGAGGTGGTGGTGGGGGCGGTGGTGGTGCCAGGAGCAGTGGCGGTGGCGGCGGCGGTGGTGGCGGAGGGGGGAGTGGTGGTGGCGGCGGTGGTGGGGGCTTGGGTGAGACCAGTGGTGGCCAGGGGCAGCAGCAGCAGCAGCGTCAGCGCCAGACCCCCACTTCCCAGCAGCAGTGTCAGTGACTGGTACGCCGGGCGTGGGGCGTCTGGGGGTCCTGGTCGCTTCCCCTATATCATTCGCGCAGGTCCCCGCGCTGGTCGCCAGTGCACAGGCTTTCACACTGAGTACCGCTGCTTCGCTCGGCTTAGCGACGCCTGACGCGTCAAGTTTCCTGATGCTACTGAGTTCCTCAACTGGGCAGACCTGCTTAGGCGTGATGTACCTATCTTTGATCTTGACTATGATGCTATTCTTGCTGCCATGTATGCATTGACTGTTAGTGCTGAGGGTGACTGCTACTTGTGTGTGCCGCCTGACCCCGGTATAGCCCCAGGTATAGCGCCTGCAGCTCTAGGTGCTCGTGAGTCTGCTCCCCCTGGTACTGCGTCCGCACAGGCCTTGCACACCTTTACACTTGACTCTGGTGCTTCCTGCTGTTTCTTTCGCGACAGCACCACAGTCACTCCCCTCCCTGCACCTGTCCCTGTCTCACTGGCTAACCCCTCTTGGGGCCCAGTGATTGCACGGTCTTCCACAGTGCTTCCGTGTCCGACGGTCTCGTCTGGTGAGCTGTCTGGTCTCCACCTCCCCTCATTCTCTACGAACTTGGTGAGCAACGCCGTCCTTCAGGATCATTGGGTTGACACCTTTACTCCTGGAGGGCAGCTTGTGGCGATCTGCACGTGCTCTCGGACCGGCCGCCACCTGGCCACGTTCACCCGTGAGCCTGGGTCCAGTCTGTACACCCTCACCACTGTGTCGCGCTCTACCCCTTTGTCTCCTCAGTTGTACGCGTCTGCTCAGGTAGCTACCCAGTGTGAGTGTCGTCGCCTATACCAGACTCTCCTTTGGCACCACCGCCTTGGTCACCCCTCCCTGCCTCGCCTTCGTGGCATGCACTCTCGCTCTCTGGTCTCTGGTCTTCCCAGGTCTCTGCCTGCCCTCCCTCCCTCGCCTGCGCCCCCCTGCATTCCTTGCGTCAAGGGACGGCAGCGCGCCGCTCCTCACTCCTCGTTTCCTCCCACAGAGGCTCCGCTTCAGACTCTCCACCTGGACGTGTAGGGCCCAGCCTGCGTCCAGGGACAGGGTCACGAGCGGTACTTCCTGCTGGTTGTCGACGACTACACGCGTTACACCACGGTCTTCCCCTTGCAGCGCAAGGGGGAGGTCCCTGATGTTTTGATCCCCTCGATCCGCGTTGTTCGTCTCCAGCTCCGCGAGCGGTTCCAGTCGGACTTTCCTGTCCTGCGTCTGCACTCTGACAGAGGTGGTGAGTTCTCCTCAGACCTCTTGCGAGCCTACTGTGAGGAGCATGGCATCCGCCAGACGATCACGCTTCCGGCCTCTCCGCAGCAGAATGGGGTTGCTGAGCGCCGCATTGGCTTAGTCATGGTGGTCGCTCGTACCTCCATGATCCATGCGGCTGCCCCCCATTTTCTGTGGCCATTTGCGGTTCGGTACGCCGCGCATCAGCTCAACCTCTGGCCCCGTGTCTCCGTGCCGGAGACTTCGCCCACACTGCGTTGGACGGAGAAGGTTGGCGATGCGTCGCGTTTCTGAGTCTGGGGTGCTCGTGCCTTTGTCCGCGATACCACTGCGGACAAGCTCTCCCCTCGCACCATTCCCTGGGTCTTCCTTGGCTTTGTCCCTGACGCGCCTGGCTGGCAGTTTTACGACCCCGCCTCGCGCCGTGTCTTTGCATCTCAGGACGTCACCTTTGACGAGCCAGTCCCCTTTTACCGTCTCTTTCCCTACCGCACTGCCCCTCGCCCCCCCCCGCCGCTCAACCTCGCTCCAGGTCCTCCCCAGGTAGACCCTGAGCTTGCTTTGCTTCTCTTGACTGGTCTTATGACCCCTTGCTCTCCCCCACTTTGCCTATGGGGGTGTGTCAAATTATATGTATGACATATATGTTTAGGCTATAGTGGGGTAGCCAATATGGGGTACAGCCCCTTTCAGGGTTTCATACTTGTACCCAACACTTTCCTAGTTCATTCATTCCTGCCTAAACTTCTGACAGGCGTTGCCCACAACGACAGACACGACAACCACGGCACGACACACCCCGGAGCGACGAATGCGGCCAGAAGTCAACCTCGCGTCACAATTTCGGTGCCGACCGGCGAGCCAGTACTGCCGTTGCCGATGCCGCTGAAGTCACAGCGTCCGCCTTGCTTTGACACGAGTCAACGGGGTGGTCATACCGTTCAGGCGTGGTTATTCACCATGAACGTGTTTTTCGACGCGAACATCTCGGACGATTCGGCGAAGATTCGTTACGCCGTGTCGCTGCTGTGAGGACTTGCCATGGATTGGTGACGCGTCATCGTAACGAAGCCGACAGACTATCAAATTCTACCGACACGTGAAGGACAAACCGGACCCTGGGCGACGTCATATTTCGTGGAAGTGCCCCAGTATCGCACGTGGTATGCGTGGTGCGCAGGTCTGCGCGCGAGATTCGAGCCGATTGCGGCTTCTATTGCGGAGCGTCAGAGGCTCCGCACTTGGCGTCAGCTCGGTTCCGTCCAGGACTACACCAGCGGATTTCTGGCATTGTACAAGAAGATGGGATCCATGGACGAGGGAGCTCGTATCGATCGCTACATCCGCGGCCTGAAACATGAAATCGCTCAGGATATCCAGCTGCGCAATGTCACCGAATTCAACGAAATCCTGGCCATGGCGGAAAGACTTGACTTTCTACGCCGACCGAGATCGGGGTCCTACGGCAACAACATTAGCTGGGGACATCGACCTCGCGGGACGAACGAGCACGTCACGATATGCGCTGTCGCCGCAAATGCCACTGCCACACCATACAAAGGACGCTACTTCGCGTGCAACAGGCCGGGACACCGCAAAAGCGAATGTCCGGAAAACGCTAAGGGAAAGGTGGAAGCTGAGCAGCAGAAACAGACCAAGCAGCAGGGAAACGCCGGGAGTAAGTAGCAGACGGGTCCTCTACTGACAAGTCACGCCGCTCGCCCGACCCAACCGACCCTCACCGAGTGATTGTGCCGGTTCACGCAATCGACCGCACCTGGCCGATTAAGGAGGGTACCACGGTAAATAGCCCCATATTGCTTAGTGGGAAGATTGGGAGAGACTTAGTTAAAATATTCGTAGACGCAGGAGCCAGCCACAGCCTCATCAACACTGCCACCGCACGGAAACTGAAACTGCCACTGGACAGGTGTTTAACACATGCAAGGCAGTACTGGTAACAGAACAGGTTCTAACGCGTACCATGTCGCGTAGAACTCGACGAACACGGCCTTCTCGCCTCCGACGTAGTCGGCGAAACTGTCAGGCGCCAAGTAGACAACATGGGAAGTGACGAGGATGAGAGACAAGGAGAGGAGGAGCGAGGGAAGTATGAGGAGAGGTAGGAGGCGAAGACGGCTTGTCGCACCCATCGAGGTGCAGAGAGGGCGTGGCGCACGGTTCAGGGGGTGGGAAAAGGAGGACAAAGGAAGATTGCGAAGTCACGTTACATCTGCTTTCCTATACTCTTAGATATTCGTCGGAATCGTGGTTCACTGGTATTAACGAGGTTAGATGATCACTCAGTATATCAGGCGCCGGTAGGGAGGGCTGGCATTTTCATCTATATGGCTAGCTATTTCCCTCTATTATCAAGGAAATGCATTATACATTCACTATCCCTAATCATTAGAAACCCTCCTTTCCAAAGAGTCTACTGAGCAATGGGATTGAGGGAAGTGCACTGGTGGAGTGTGTATGTGTCAAGGAGGAGGTTCTGAGTAAGGGCGGCTGGAAAGCCACTTATTAGCACTTGGCTATTCGGCAGGCGATAAGGCTGACGATGCCTCCCAGCAGCAGCAGGAGGATCAAGATGATTACGATCTTTATTTTCATGTTCTCCCACCACATCTTCGTCTTCACCTTCTTTGCCTCCTTCTTAAATTGCCCAGCCTGTCCACACAAAACAGAGAATGCCGGAGGGTGACATGTTTATCAAGGAAAAGCGGTGGGACAGGCAATAATTCTACCAGCCGAACGGTGAGCCATATTGTCCCACTTGATAGATGTTCCTTCTCCTTTCCCTGCTCGCTTCATCCGCGCACCCACACGCCACATTCCCATCACACACCCATGCCCGTGCGGCTGCAGCACGCACCTGTTCTTGTAGCGCGTTCGCCTGCTCGTTCAGGACCTCCAGCTTCTCCCCGCGATTGATCACCTGCCGGGTCAGCGAGCGCGAAAACACACAGAGACCAGGCTGGTAAGCACGGGGGCTAAGAAAGCCGTGGGAGGGGGCGCAACGAGAGGGCAGGTAAGCGTGACTGCATATTTGCGGCTAGGTCAGAGGGAAAGAAAAAAGTAAAAGAAGAAGAAGCAGAAGAAGAAGAAAGTATAGAAGATTTCTTTCGCGCGCTCACCTTGCGGATGTTGTCTACCATAACGCCTTTCACCTCCTCCACCTGCCCCTTTATCTTGACCAACTTGCTCAGCTCCTCCGGCCTCGCCGTCCCCTCTTTCAGCTGCTGCTTCAGCTTCGGCCTGCCATGCACGGACGTGGGAATAGTGGCGCAACGGTTGGTGGAGCAGGAGCAGCGAGGGGAGCGATATAGAAATGGAGAGACGGGTCAGGCGAGTGCAACAAGCGTCGGGCAATCAAGCCTCGCCGAGCGGTACTAATACGTCGCGTAACACCAGCGCGATGCTTCCTTTCTTCACTGCGACGCCGTTTCGGCGCCCCCCATCCCCCGGTCCGGGCCCGCTGACTCACCCGAACTCGCGCTGCAGCGCGCCCGCGGGCATGGCGCGCGCCTTGCTGCCGTACTTGGGCATGAAACCCGACTGGAGCTTCCCCAGGAACCCGCGCAGCACGTCGCGCGCCACCTCCTTGTCCGCCAGCACTCCGAACACTGCGGGGGGTGGGGGGTATCAGTGGGGGAAGATGGGGGAGAAGGGGGGAGAGGCGCGGGGGTGGACAGGGGTGGGACGCGCAGGGCGGTGAGGACAAGAACGCGTTGACTCGTGGAGGCGGAGCATTTAAGTGTAGGCGATATTTCGCTGTCGAGGTGTGTGCTGCGTAAGGAGACCGGAGCGAAAAGCCGGCTGTTGATTATTTTCCATTGAGGGCACAGGATTGTGAGGAGGGTTCACGGGAAGCAAGAGAAAACATGGCTACATGCGGCAAGCTATTCCCACATTCGCTCCCCGGCTCGCAACTTCGCGAACTACCTTCCCATTGCCAACCAATCCCGGAGCACTCCGCCCAACTCCTCTCCTATAACGTTCTCCTATAACGTTAACCCTGGCGCCGCGCTGCTTCCCATTGGACCTTCGTCCGGGCCCGCGACGCGTACCGTATTCCTTCTCCGTCTGGAATGCGATAATAAAGTCGCCGTACGGCATCGCGATGTACGTGGCGCGATCTTTGGGCAGCACGGCGAGGCACTCCTGCACCGTGGCGCTCAGGTCGCCCTTTACCATCGAATGCTCCGCCAGCACGTCCACACCGCGCGATACCATCGCGTACCGCAACTCGCCGCGCTTCGGCGCATCGCCGCCCGTCGCCATGATGAGGCCGCCCGCGTCGCCCGAGTTTCGAGGAGTCTCGCGGACGATTTATGGCTGTGCGGTTCCGCAGAATTCCACGGATGCCGCTTTCTCGGTAGATTCCGAGTCGCACAATTGAGCTGTGACGCAGTTTTCGTGAAATGCTGCTGTAAGGGGGTGCTGTTCCTCTGCAGCGATGTTCGCAGCGAAGAGTAAACGAGTAAAACGAAAGAATTGGTGCTATTCGTTGGTCCTCGGAAGCTTGAGTCTGCTCGAACTAGCGATTGCAATGCGAATATTGACAGTGCATGCCAGAGCGTGAAAGATTCAGTTGCAGCCTAGCAGGTTCTGGTGCACACAAACATCAGACAGAGCTCCTTTGCTACGGAACTGGGCGAGCTTCTCTTGCTGTGTGGTTGAATGTCGCAAGGAACAAGAACGCGGGGCAGTGGAGGATGTTGGTGGTGCAACATTATTGGAGATCGACAACGAGAGATTTGAAATAATTGCGCGACGCGACATGCACAGACGTCGCTGCGCAGCGCCATATCATTGTTTCTGTATGATTCCAGAATCTTATCATTTGTGTGTAACATGCACTCTATGATATCAACAGCATAGTACGTAGAGCGGTCAGATATCACTATACAAGTAGAGCGTTCTTAAAATTTCCCGTACACTTGCACAGCTTATGATCTACTGGACAAGTCGTGTAAAAAGTTAGCGCAAAACATTTACATTGAACATGCACAGCAGCAGCCGTTGACTTAGCAGTTACCTGGAAAGTGTACCCTAAAAGCACGTGAGAGTAACAGTTAAGATAGCATATAGGGCAGTAGTGTTTATCCTTAAGCGTTAATATCGTGTTATTCTACCTTCAGAGTTAGTAGACTAGTTGCTGGTGCCCGTGAGAATATTTTGTTGCACATAGTTGAAATAGGTCCAGTAAGGGTCAGGAGAGGTCGATAGGTTGGTCCCGATTGCCCTCCTTGCTTTCCTTGAGCTTCTTTATCCCTGCGGTGGAACCAAGGATGGGATGGAGATGGAGGAGACAGACGGCATACAGGTGAACGTCCCAGTGAATACTAAAATGTTGTGTGCTTTTCTCTGTGTGTGTGTGTGTGTGTGTGTGTGTGTGTGTGTGTGTGTGTGTGTGTGTGTGTGTGTGTGCGTGTGTGTGTGTGTGTGTGTGCGTGTGCGTGGTTGCGTGTGTGTGTGTGTGTGTGTGCCTGTGTATGTGCATGTGTCTGTGTGCGCGTGCGCATGTATTAAAAACGGAGTGGTGGTAGAAGTCCAAGGAGTCAGTCACCCACAACACCCAGCACAGCCGCCACAGCATCCCACTCCCTCCCGCCTTCCCCCTCTCTCTACCCCCTCTCCCTATCCCCACAAGCATCGTACCATCGAGGATGGGCATGACAGCGGGCGCAGGCAGGTGCACGCCCACATACTTGTTTCCATCGCTCGCCTCCACATGTGCCACCTGCACCCGCTTGTGCTGCGCCGACGACTGCGGAAGGAGAGGAGCAGGGGGGGTGGGGAGGGAGGGGTTTACGAGGGTTGAGAAAAGGAGGGCGGAAGCAGAGCAATGGTAGAGAGAGCAAGAAGACGGAAAATTGCTGCGTGCACGTGTGCCATGAGCAGTGTAGCATGAGCATGCATGCATGACGTGCATGCTTGCTTGCCTGCGCCATGAGTGCCTCTCAACCACTTGCCTGCGCCATGAGCGCCTCTCAACCACTTGCCTGCGCCATGAGCGCCTCTCAACCACTTGCCTGCGCCATGAGCGCCTCTCAACCACTTGCCTGCGCCATGAGCGCCTCTCAACCACTTGCCTGCGCCATGAGCGCCTCTCAACCACTTGCCTGTGCCATGAGCGCCTCTCAACCACTTGCCTGCGCCATGAGCGCCTCTCAACCACTTGCCTGCGCCATGAGCGCCTCTCAACCACTTGCCTGTGCCATGAGCGCCTCTCAACCACTTGCCTGCGCCATGAGCGCCTCTCAACCACTTGCCTGCGCCATGAGCGCCTCTCAACCACTTGCCTGCGCCATGAGCGCCTCTCAACCACTTGCCTGTGCCATGAGTGCCTGGTCAATGACGCCAAAGACAGGGAACACGGCCCCATGCAGCAGGTGCATCTGCTGCAGCCGCAACCCCACCCTGCAGCTCGCCCCTGCCCGGCACTTGGGGCCGTGCATGCACTGGATGGGAGGAGGGGCAACGAGGTGGCAGGACAAGGGGACTCTGAAGTCGGCTCAAACATCATCTCCTTGCAGCTCGCCCCCCCTGCCCTGCACTTGGGGCCGTGCATGCACTGGATGGGAGGAGGGGCAACGAGGTGGCAGGACAAGGGTGGAGGATGGCTATAGATGCAGGAAGGACACACATGGTAGGTATGTTTCTGATTCCCCGCCATTACTGAGAGACAGGACGTGAGGTGGGTGAGGGATGCTGAGAGTGAATGAAGGGTGATGGGAGCTGAAATAAACAGTGAGAACAGGGGATAAGTACACAGCACAGCTCAATCTCCTCTTAACGGTTCACACTATCAGCTGAGTGCATGATTGAGCTGTGCACGCTATGAGCTGCAAGTGTCATAAGCAGGACACAATGCGGACTCAAAGGCACCCTTCAACTCAGGTACAATGTGCAAGGCATCATGCAGCGCTGACCGACCCATGTGCAGCGCAGCTCACCTGAGTGGCGGACAGCTCATACTCCGCATCCCAGATGGCTTGCAGCGATGACAGCCTGGCGGGCGGCAGCTTGGAATACTTGTCCAGAAAGTCCACCAGAGGGGTGGGCCTGGCCGGCACATGCAGGGACGGGCGGGACGGGCAGACGAGGAAGGTGGGATGTTTGAGTCTACTAAAAAGGCAGCTTGGTATACTTGTCCGAAAAGTCCCACAGAGGGGTGGGCCTCGCACGGCACACGCAAGGAAGGGTGAGAAGGAAAGGAGTGGACATGGAAAGGTATACAGCGAGCCTGGAGAAGGTGTAGTGGACGTGCGTGGCTCTAAGGAGGGAGACACTAGTGGAGAGAGTAACCCACCCACGTGGGTGGCATGGTAACGGTCAAGAGGAGAACAACATGGCTTTTTGAGGAGAGAAAACCGCCTGAAAACGATGGAAGGGTATTGCTGAACTCAACTAGACGTGTAGACACTAGTGTACTGGAAACACCTCTTTTCTGCTGCATGCACCCTCTGCACCACTGCCCTTGCTACTCCTGCCCTCTCTCCCTCTACCCTCTCTCCCTCTGCCCTATGCACCTGTTAGCTGCAGACGTGCGTGGTCGGAATATCTGCACTGCTGCTTTCTGCCCCGCTGCTGGCGGACTGCTCCATGCAGGCATGGGGATGGTGAGATGGTGGGGTGGGGGCATGGCACAGAGGCCCGGGAGGGAGATGACTCAGAGGAAAAGGGCAGGATGGGCCAATGCATCGCAGCAAAGGCTAGACTAGGCACAAGGTAGTGCACTGCCTGCCGCATGCATATACCCAGTGGCAGGCCCACGGAGCAGAGAGATGGAGAAGAGAGATAGAGCAGAGAGATGGAGCAGAGAGATGGAGCAGAGAGATGGAGCAGAGAGATGGAGAAGAGAGATGGAGCAGAGAGATGGAGAAGAGAGATGGAGAAGAGAGATGGAGCAGAGAGATGGAGAAGAGAGATGGAGCAGAGAGATGGAGCAGAGAGATGGAGCAGAGAGATGGAGAAGAGAGATGGAGAAGAGAGATGGAGCAGAGAGATGGAGAAGAGAGATGGAGCAGAGAGATGGAGAAGAGAGATGGAGCAGAGAGATGGAGCAGAGAGATGGAGAAGAGAGCGGATGGAGCAGAGAGCGGATGGAGCAGAGAGCGGCGTAGGAAGAGCAGACAGAGAGAGGCGCACGCACCAGAGGAGGGCCAGCAGGTAGTGCTTGCGCCCTAGCCACTCCCTCTGTGACACATAGAACCCGTTCACTCGTGCCGCTCGCTCCCTCCACTGCCTCGCCTCCCTCGCTTCCGTCCCCTCCTCCTTCCCATCCTTCCGCTCCTCCTTCACCTCCTTCACCTCCTTCCCCTCCTTCCCCTCCTTCCCCTCCTTCTCATTCCCATCTTTTCCATCCTTTCCATCCCTCTCCTTCCCCTCCTTCCCCTCCTCTTTCCCATCTTGCCCCTCCTTCTCCAAACTACCCTCCTCAATCTTCACCTGTCCACCCTCCACACCGTCACCACTCCCCCCCTCCCCCTCCCCCTGCTTCCTCTTCTTCCCCCTCGCCTCCTTCCCCTTCTCCCCCTCCTCCAACTCCCCGCTCTCCCCATCCTCCTCCCCGCCCCCCTCCGCCCTGCCCTGCTGCCCCACCTTAGCTGATGCATCATTGAATAGTTGCCGTGCAGACTGGAATAGAATGGCAGCAGAAGAGAGCATTGGAGGGGAGGGAGCATTGGAGTGGACATTGAAAAGCTTGATGGGTCAGTGATAAGCCTGCGAGGGTAATGTAAAGACAGGAGGGAGGCTTGAAGAGAGGAGAAAACGATTGAAGCTATGATGAAGGCATGGTGGGCGCATGGTGGGCGGATTGTGGGCGAATTGTGGGCGGATTGTGGGTGCATTGTGAGGGCATGGTGGGCGCATGAGCGCACGTACCTCCCAGTTGAGACCTTTGTCGATGGTGAGAACAACATGGAAGGTCTTGCCTCCTGATACCTCATCCTCACACACCACCTGGTGCACACATGGATACATGCACGCCCACACACGCACGCAAACGCACACGCACACAAAGACACAGATTGCATTTGAAAGATGATGAGAACGATTCAGGTGCCGGCGCACAGACTCGGTCCACACCACACAACCCACGCTGTGTGACGCTCCAAGCACAGCCCGAAACCCGTGCTCCACAACATTCCGAAATGTCTCAAGAGCAAACAAGGACTGCGGCGCTGCAGGCTCACTCACCCGTGCGTGCTCACTGATTGATTATACCCACATCTAGCTTGCCCTCCTTGAAACTGCACTCTTGTCAATCGCATTCTGTAGAATCCTCAAGAACAAGGAACTGCGGCGCTGCAGGCTCACTCACCTGCGACGGCTGTGTGACGGTGATTCTGGGCGCGCGCACGCTGATGATACCCACGCCCGGCTCGCCCTCCTTGTGATCGCCCTCTCCTCACACACATTCTGTAAACTCCTCGAGAACAACAACTGCCTCACCTGCGACGGCTGTGTGACGGTGATTCTGGGCGCGCGCACGCTGATGATACCCACGCCCGGCTCGCCCTCCTTGTGATCGCCCTCTCCTCACACACATTCTGTAAACTCCTCGAGAACAACAACTGCCTCACCTGCGACGGCTGTGTGACGGTGATTCTGGGCGCGCGCACGCTGATGATACCCACGCCCGGCTCGCCCTCCTTGTGATCGCCCTCTCCTCACACACATTCTGTAAACTCCTCGAGAACAACAACTGCCTCACCTGCGACGGCTGTGTGACGGTGATTCTGGGCGCGCGTACGCTGATGATACCCACGCCCGGCTCGCCCTCCTTGTGATCGCCCTCTCCTCACACACATTCTGTAAACTCCTCGAGAACAACAACTGCCTCACCTGCGACGGCTGTGTGACGGTGATTCTGGGCGCGCGCACGCTGATGATGCCCATGTCCAGCTCGCCCTCCTTGCACGCTGTTGCCACTAGGTGCGCGAATATGGCCGCAAAGAACTCAAACAACCTGGAGTTGGGAGAGGGAGGGGAGGGAGTGGGGGGGAGGTGCCAGAAAACACTTTTATTTCCAAGCAGCCTTCGTAGACTGGCGTTATTTGAGGAGGGGGAAGCGAGGAAGGGAGTCTGACAGGGAGGATGGGGGGAGGAAGGGGAGAAGACGGGGGACATGGGGGGTGATGGAGCTGTGGAACAATGGGCTGGTGCAGGGAGAACGCGGCAATGGCGAGAATATGGAGCGATGGGATGCCGAGCTTCCGTTCTGAAGTCACATGCAGAACCACGGGCGGGCGGGCGGGCGGGCGGGCGGGCGGGCGGGCGGGCGGGCAGGCAGGCAGGCAGGCAGGCAGGCAGGCAGGCACCTGTTCTGCTGTGCGGGCTGCAGTCCCAGCATGCGGTTGAGGAAGCGAGCGACATCTGACATGTCCGACTCGGGGATCTTCCCCCCCACCGCATACATGCCCCCCGCTGCCGCTGCTGCTGCCGCAAGGGAGTGGACGGGTGGAGGAGAGCCGGAAACGGGGGAGACGAAGGGAGAGACGAGCATAAGTGGTGGAGGTGAAGGAGATGGGGATGTAGGCAAATATTGGTTGCATGCAGCCTTGTGAAGGTGTGCCTTGCAAATATTTTCAGGCACCAATACACGATGGACTCATATACATCATGTCCATCCATATCACACATGTCCAGTTGGCATACATGTGGTTGGCACATGTAAACTCACATGTGTTGAAGGTCGGATCTCTGACGATCCCAACAATAATCAGGGCAGCTCGGGCAGCCTGGTAAAACTTCACCCAGGCGTCGTCAAACTTTTGCGGGCAGCCGGGGGGTGGTGCAGGGGCAGGCATGTTATCCATGATGCAACGATACATGGTGGAGAGGGCCCGCTTGCCCCACACGCCCTCGTAGTTGAATGCTGACAGGGACGGACCCGCCCTGGGAAAAGGGGGAGGGGGGGGGGGGAAGGGGGAGGGGAGACAAGGTATGAGAGTTGCAAAGGCACCAAGGTTAGCATGTGCTGGGTTCCATGGAAGGGGGTATAGGGGTGGGCAGGAGAACAGCATGCGGCGAGCAGCCGGGGGGTGGTGCGGGGGTGGGCATGTTATCCATGATGCAGCGATACATGGTGGAGAGGGCTCTCTTGCCCCACACGCCCTCGGAGTTGAAAGCTGAGAGCGACGGGCCCGCCCTGGGGAAAGCAGAGCAGTAGGAGGATGCTGTTAGGTAGCAGCAGCAGGGTTGGTGCATGTGCAGGGCTGCTTCAGGGGGCGGGTTGGAGGGGCTAGCAGCATGGGGTTGAATTGGTTGGAACAGGAAGCAGAGTTGGGAGGGGGCGGGTATATACCTGCACCAGCGCACACACCAGCACCAGCAGCACCACACACACCTGCACCAGCAGCACCACACACACCTGCGGTCCCCCTGTGTGAGAGCTCCGAGTGACTCCAGGCGCTTGGCCACCACCGAGGCAAACCGCTTCTCACCCCCCAGCTCCGTGAATAGCAGCCTGAGAGGGGGTGGCGCGTGGGGGTTGGAGGGCGTAAAAGGGGTGAGGTGGGGGAGCAAAGGGGAAGGTGAGTAGCGTCACAACTGAATAACTATTACGCGGAGACAAAGGGCAATGATGTGACTTTTGAGTCGACTCAAAAGTCAACTAACTATTACGCGGAGACAAAGGGCAATGATGTGAGGGCAGAGCAGAGACGAGCTGCTACTCTGGTTTTACCTCTGGGAAATGCGCGTCTCTAGAAAATAACACTGCCGCCCACCTGCAATACCACCCACCTGTACTGTCGCCCACCTGCAATACGACCCACCTGTACTGCCACCCACCTGCAATACCGCCCACCTGCACTGCCGCCCACCTGTACTGCCGCCCACCTGTACTGCCGCCCACCTGCACTGCCGCCCACCTGTACTGCCGCCCACCTGTACTGCCGCCCACCTGTACTGCCGCCCACCTGTACTGCCGCCCACCTGTACTGCCGCCCACCTGTACTGCCGCCCACCTGTACTGCGGCGCGCTGGCCTGGTTGGAGCGGTGGGAGCGGCCAAACTGCTGGATGGCACGGTCAGCACTCCACGGCAGCTCCACCGTTATGTGCACCCGGCGACGCTGCGAGGGAGGGGGGAAAGGATAGGAGGGGACTTCTGAGTCAACTCACGAGTCACCTCCAAACTGCTGGATGGCACGGTCGAACTTCACGGCAGCTCCACCGTGATGTGCACCCGGCGGCGCTGAGGAGGTGGGGGAAACAGGTGGCCAGTCGGGGAACGGACCAAAGTGCGTGGGGAAGAGAAAGGGGGGCAGGAAGGGGAGAAGAGGGGAAGGAAGAGGGGACAATTGTGATAGAGAGCGCACAGACGCGTAGGGGTGTGGTTGGGTTAAAAGGGGAGGCTTGGTACATTACATGGGTAGGGTGGAAGAGGAGCAGCGCACCTGGTTTTTAGCGCGGCGGTCGGCCTGCAGGGAGATGCCAGCGCTGGCGGCCTCGGAGATGATGGCGATGAGCTTGTCCCCCGCCATGAACAGCGCCTTCTCCCTCATGTTCACCATCTCCGCTGCCACGTCCTTGCTGGTGGGGACGGAGTGGAGTGGAGCGGGGTGGAGTGGGGTGGGGTGGGGTGGGGTGGGGTGGGGTGGGGTGGGGTGGGGTGGGGTGGGGTGGGGTGGGGTGGGGTGGGGTGGGGTGGGACCGGTGAGACAGAAACAGCAGTGCAAGTGAGACAGGCGATGCATGCACGAATGCGTGCATGGAAGCGTGACAGGCATCGACGCGCATTGCACAGGCACGACTCACAAGGTCACGAGTTCACACATGCGTGTAGCCACAGTGCAATGCATGGCAGTACTTTTGAGGCACCTCAAAAGTCTTCTGAGGCGTGACTCACGAGTTCCTCGCCTGGTAGCTGACGGTGCCCTTGCCTTCCCCCGTGGTTGTGCGCACCAGCATGCCCCTCCGCCCTGTCATCTCCGCCACTGCCTCTGGCCCTCCCAGCTGCTCCCATGCACGCATGTACACACACACCACCACACCAGCACACCGAAACACAGCCACACATCCACATAGCCAGTCGCCCGCACACTCACACACCCGCACACCCACACACACACCCACACACCACACACACACCCACACACCCACACACCACACACACACCCACCCAGTCACATACAGAGTGCGTATCAGCAGTGTGTGCAGTGGATATGATCAGCAGAAAGTCATCCCACAGAACAATAGCTGGCGACATCTAGTAACGGCCGGAAGCAGCAAAAAGGCTCACTCACGCCCACTCGCACCCACTCACGCCCACTCGCACCCACTCACGCCCACTCGCACCCACTCGCACCCACTCGCACCCACTCGCACCCACTCGCACCCACTCGCACCCACTCACACCCACTCGCACCCACTCTCGCCCACTCACCTTGTCTATGAGCTCATCCAGAGGGTTGTTCGGCAGAGGAAGCTTCCTGATGGCTTCCATGATCTCGGCCTTGCGAGCGACAGCCGTGTTATACCTGGTGATGGGGGGCGATAGAATCAAAGGGTGGACTGCTGTGGCGGCTCAGTAAGAGTGACTTAAGAAAGAGGTGAGCACGGGTGTAGGGATAGAACACACATATATTTCAAGGAATGAAAGTCGACCGACACGTTTCGACCACGCCCTGCGGAGCCCTCCCCTGCCATGGCATGTCATACCATGCCTGTATAGACTTGTATCTTGAACCCGCTACTGTAAATACTGAGCGCATGAACCCTGAAGAAAGCACTAACCTGGCTTCCATCTCAGAGAGGTAAGTCTCTCTCTCCGTGCGAATCTCACTCGTTGTCTTGTCACACTCCCCACACAGCCACGGCACCTGCGCCTCCCCCTCCTCCTCCTGCCCGCTGCTCCCCCCTTCACTCCCACTGCTGCTCCCTCCTGCCTTCCTGCTCTTCGTTTTTTTCCTCCCCTCCTCCTCAATCCCCTCCTCCGCCTCCTCCCTTCCACTCTCCTCCTCCTCCTCATCCACGTCATCATCTCCCAGGTCTATTGGGCTCGCCACGTCACCTCCTCGATTCCTTGTTCCCCCCGCCAGCCGCTCGCTGCCTGCTGCTGACCTGGTGCTAACGTGGCCTCGGGGGGCGTCAGCCAACCAGGGGTGGTAACCGCCGCTTCTGCCGGTGTGCCTCTCAAAGCACGCCACGTGGCCGACACGCGAGCACACCGCACATGCCATCAGCGACCCAGACAGCTGCAAGGAGGGCGGATGGGAGGGTGGGAGGGTGGGAGGGTGGGAAGAGGGTAGAGAGAAGGGCGTGCATGGGAAGCAACAGATTCAAGAGAAGTGTGTGTGCTTGCTTCTTGGGAAACTTTAGTGCTGGGAAGCTTTAAAAAGGGACAGGAAGCAGACTCGAGAGAGGGGCATATGCTGGTGATGTGATGGGCATTCTGAAAGACATCAAAATGAGCAAAGAAGGCGAGGCGCAGTCAGTGGGTGGGTGGGTGGGAGGTGGGAGCGAGGCGAGGCGAGGCGCACCTCCTCGTCATGGCAGATCTGGCAGATGTCTCCTTGGAAGTCACTGTCGTCCGATGATGTCTCCGATGCCGCTGCTCACATGGGCGGTGGGCGCGAGGGAGCGAGGGGTGAGAGGGGTGCAAGGGGTGAGAGGGGTGAGAATGAGAGGTTGAGGTTGAGGGAGTGAGGGAGAGAGGGGGATGCTGCGAGCCATGGCCATGTGAGAGGATTTAGTTGATTGCCTTCACTGCCCTACCATTGACACCAGGTGCGACTAGCTGATGCTGTCACATGTACTGCTCACATTCCCACCCCATTTGCTCTCGCATCGACTTTACCCACTGCATCCTCCCCACTAACCCCCAACCACCTCACACCCCCCCCTTAACCACCTCCCTCCCACCTCACACCCCCCACCTCACTCCCTAGCCACCGTCCTCATGCCTCACCATCGAAGTCCTCATCACCGTCCTCCTCGCTATCATCGCTCTCGTACTTGACTGCGCGCCGCACCCTCCCCCGCTGCGACACCGACACACCCCGACTCACGCCCCTCTCCTGCTCCCGCTCCCGCTCCTTCTTCAGCTCTTCGCCCTCTGAGTGGGGGTCAAGGGAGTGCAATGCGGTGCATGAAGGTGGACGATGAGGATGGAGTGGAGGGACAGCGGGGAGTCGCAAGGAATGGAACGCACTAGTAAGGCCCATGACAGGTGGAACTAGGCAAGCTTCCAAGGGTCAAGGAGGAGCGGTCGATGCATCAAAGCCACTTTTGAGAATAAGAATAAAGAACAAACCACCAGTAGAGCCCATGGAACGGCAGGGCAGGGCAGGGCAGGGCAGGGCAGCAGCAGACGTTTGGGCAGGGCCGGTGGCGGGGGCAGTGGGTAGGTCTCCTCCACGAGCTTGAGCAGGATCTCCCTGGGGCCACTCACAAAGTCGTCCATCTCCGTGCCCTGGGAGGACAACGCACGGGGGAGATGGGGGGAAGAACGGGGAGGGAACTTTTGAGTCGAGTAAAGTAATCGTCTCGGTCTCATTCCCCCACGAGCTTGAGCAGGATCCCCCCACGCACTCACAAAGTTGCCCATCTCAGTGCCCTGGGGGGCAATGCAGGCGCAGGGGGAGATGAGGGCGGATGGAGGGAGAGGAGAGGGGGGAGGGAAATGTTTGAGTCGGACGCAGAAATCACACACAGGTCTCATTCCTCCACAAGCTTGAGCAGTATCTCCCTGGGGCCACTCACAAAGCCGTCCATTCCCGTACCCTGGGAGCAATGCAGGAGGAGATGAGGGCGGATAGGGGAAGAGGAATGGGCGGGGGAGGGTGGGTTGGGAGAGGGGGGAGGGGGGAGAAAGGGCGATGGAGAAAGGGCGATGGAGAAAGGGCGATGGAGAAAGGGCGAGGGATGGAGGAGTAGCGAAGCATGGGCAGAACTGTGGATGGTGAAGTTGATGCATAGCATACTGAATATGGCCTACAGCCAAGTTGCCCCCCTTTCCCCAGCTCCTCCCAAGCATCCACGCACAGCGCCCCCTTCCCCTCCCCTCTCCCCGCCGCACCAGTTGAGTGACAGCCTCATCGGTCCTGGCCTCACCTGTGCTCTGCAGCCCTATGATCACGCACTTGCCCTCCGCCACTGCCTGCTACCCAACCACCCCGCCGCCCCCTCTCTTCCTCCCCCCAACAATCTCTTCCTCCCCCCAACAATCTCTTCCTCCCCCCAACAATCTCTTCCTCCCCCCAACAATCTCTTCCTCCCCCCAACAATCTCTTCCGCACATTCAAGAAACCCATGCACAGCACCCCCTCCCTCTCACACCCCTCCCTACCGCACCAGTTTAGCAACAGCCTCGTCGGTGCGGGCCTCGCCCGTACTCTGCAGCCCGATGACCACGCACTTGCCCTCCGCTATTGCTTGCTGCACCATGCGCACCGCTGCTGGCACCTTGGCGCTGATGCACAGATGGCGGAAGAACCGCTGGCAGAGAAGAGGGAGGGGGAGAGAGGGAGAAGGCGAGGGGGAGAAGGGGGGGGGGGGGTGGGGGAGAGCGGGGGAAGAGGAAGGGGGAAGGGTGAATTGAGGCACTTTGAAGCCATGCGCACTGCTGCTGGCACCCCTTGGCGCTGATGCACAGGTGGTGGGAGAAACGCTGGTGGAAAGGGGGGAACGGAGGGGGAAATGGGGAGAGAGGAGGGGAAAGAGGACGGGGAGAGGTGAGTTGCGGCGCGTCGGAAGATGCACAGAGCTGGAAGACCCACTGGAATGGTGGGGATAAGAGGGAGGGGGGGGGTGGATGTGGGTTGAGTGCTGCATTTGAGGCGCCTAAAACAAATGCACAGAAGTTGGAATAGCAGGTGCAATGGAAGGGTGGGAGAAGGCCAAAGGCAGGTTGCGGGTGGGGAGGAGAGGAAGGGAGAGGAGGATGAGGGTGATAGAATCTTTACAGTAGGGGAGCGCGGTGCCAGAATGATGTGAGGAGGGTGAGCAGCTGGAAGGAGACAATACGTTGCAGCACTGTGCTCTGGTGCTCTCATCCCCCATCCTCCTCCTCATCCTACCCCCACCCCCTTTCTCCCGCCCCTCCCTCCTTCCAGAGCACCTGGTGCGCGGCCCAGAAGGTGCGCCAGACAGCGTTGGCGGAGGAGCGCTTGGAGGAGTCGGAGGCAGAGGCGCTCTGAGCAGAGGACAGGGCGAGCGCCGCTGCTATCATGTCCGCCCTCAGCTCCGCCCATAGCTGCGCCGCCTTGGAATACATCTCCTGAGGGGAGGGGTGAAAGGGGGGGGGAAGTGGGAGCGGGGGGGAGATGGGCAGTGGGAGAAAGGGGGAGAGGGGGAAAGGGGTGAGAGAAACGAGAGGGGAGAAGTGATGCTTTCATGTCCGCCCCCTCAGCTCCGCCCACAGCTGCGCCGCCTTGAAGTACATCTCCTGGGGGGGGGGGGGGGGGAGAGGGGGAGTTGGAGAGAGGGGAAAGGGGGGAGAGGGAAGGGGTTGGGGAAACGTGAGGGGAGAGGTGGCGCTATCATGTCCGCCCTCAGCTCCGCCCATGGCAGTGCCGTACATCTCGTGAAGGTGGGGGGGAGGAGGGGTGTGGAAAGGGGAGATGGGAGGAGAAAAGGGTGAGAGGCGGACGAGGAAACGCGGGCGGTGGGTCGCCCTTGATGCCGATTTGCACAGGCGAGTGCAGAGAGCAAGCACCACCAGTAAATGCAGACACACAGCAATCCAACCGTCCACAGGCATCCAGCCCCCCCCTCCCTCTGCCCGCACGGCTCACCTGCATGCTGGGCTCCAGTGGCACATGCACCACCTCGAACTCCGCGCCGTCGAAGCTCAGCGTGCGACACACGTACATTCCCCTGCGGTTTGAATGGAAGAGGAGGGAGAGGGGAATGGGGGAGTTGCAGGAGGGAAGGGGTGGGGGTGGAGAGGCAGACGGGTGGGCCGGGTAGCGATGTGAGGAAACGGACCGAGCAGCCGTGGATGGAGGCAGGCTGGTGGGGGCAGCTATGTGGAATGAATACAAAGGTTAGCTTGGTGCATGACATGGGCATGGGCACGGGCATGGGCACGGGCATGGGCGGAGCACTAACCGGGCTTTCATGTCCATGGCCATGAGCTCCAGTGCTCCCACTCCCCGCTTGTCAATCGTGCCTGAAACAGCACCGGCGGAACATACATGGGAGCAGGGAACGGGGAGGGCAGGAAGCGTCAAGGAGGAACCGGTGCTGAGGTTTGTGCTGTAGCTTGACTATCGGCAGTGGAGATGGCAGTGGAGATGGCAGTGGAGATGGCAGTGGAGAGGGCAGTGGAGAGGGCAGTGGAGAGGGCAGTGGAGAGGGCAGTGGAAGCACATAACAGGAGACGAGGGTAAGTGGGCCACAGTGCAAGGTCCAGTGGTTTGTAGGTGAGTACACAAGCGAGGGAACGAGTGAGTGACGGCAGTGGCATGGCAAGTACCGAGGAAGTGTTGGAAGTTGAGGAAGGGCGTGCCATCGCCCCACAGCCCCAGCCGTGTCATGTACCCTACGTGCCGTGGCTCCGATGCACCCGTTGCACTGCAGTACACCACTCGCGCGTTCGGTAGCTTCGCCTGCCCGGGGAGTGATGGGCAGCGGGAGGGGCGGGCAGAGGGAGCGAGGGGTGTGCTTGAGCAGGGGGCATGCAAGGTTGCACGGGGGGGCGCGGTGTAAGGAGAGAACAAGATGCGAGGAAGGGAGAAGGTTCTTGAGAAAGGATGGGGGAAGCAGCAATCAGAGATGGGAGTTCTTTCCACAAAACGCCTGTAGCACACAGCAAGCGAGGCCCACACTCCACACATCTCCCCCCTCCCAAAGGCGCCCTGCCCCCCCTCGAACCACAAGTGACCATCACATCTATCCCCATCCCACCCTACCCACTCTCTCTCCCCCCACTTGCTCTGACAACCCCTGCACCCTTTCCCCCCTGCCTCCCTACCTGCAACTCCATGACGGCCTCGCCTGTGCGCGTGGCGTTGCCCCCTGACTCCGGCACCAGGTTCTTGGCCTTGTGACACTGCCATGCGTGCATACACGCACACGCACACACACATAATACGCATACACACAGGCGATAGGGAGCACGCACAGCAGGGAGGGAGGAGGGAAAGGAGTAGGGGGGTTGGAAAACTGGAGGAAATTATGAGAGAAGGTCAGAGTGTTGAGATGAGAACGCACAGCACAGCAGACCGAATAGCACACATGCAATGCAAGTGGAACAAGGCTTTCCCATGCACCTTTGGGTGATCTGCTACACCCAAGTCTTACCCATTCCCCCCCTCCACCCAACTCTCTCTCCCCTTTCACCCAAGTTTTACCCCTTCCCCTCCCCCCTCTTACCTCATCAAAAATAATGGCGCCATCGAGGCCCGGCGTGCACCACTGGGTGGTCTGCTGCAGCCCAGAGCTTCCCCCTCCTTCCCCTCCACCCCCTCCACCCAACCCCTTCTCCCTCTTTTGAGGCGCCTCAAAAGTTGCACCACTGCGTAATCTGCTGCAGCCCAGGGCTTCCCCTTCCTTCCCCTCCACCCAACCTTTTCTCCCTCCCTTCTGGTATCACAATCACACACCTCGTCAAAGATGATGGCGCCATCGAAGCCCGGTGTGCACCACTGGGTGATCTGCTGCAGGCGCGACCGGCGGTTCTCTGCCGACGCGATGAGCGTGCTGTAGGTGAGGAACAGCACGCCCTCCTTGATCTGCAAGAGAAGGACGGGGTGGGGTGATGGGGGAGCGGGGTGTGTGAGGAGAGGGGCGATGAGCGTGCTGTAGGTGAGGAACAGCACGCCCTCCTTGATCTGCAAGAGAAGGACGGGGTGGGGTGATGGGGGAGCGGGGTGTGTGAGGAGAGGGGCGATGAGCGTGCTGTACGTCAGGAGCAGCACGCCCTCCTTGATCTGCCACCGCGGGGAGGGGAGGGGAGGGGGGTGGGTGATGGTTGATGGGAGGAGAAGGTGTGAGGGAGGACGGTGATGAGCGTGCTGCACGTCAGGAACAGCACGCCCCCCTTGATCTGCGCGCGTTGACGGGGGAGGAGGGGGGAAAGGGGGCGAGCGGGAGGAGGTGATGGGTGATGGGCGATAGGTGATGAGAGAAGGGTGTGAGGGAGGGGAGATGGCGATGAGCGTGCTGTACGTCAGCAACAGCACGCGCTCCTTGATCTGCGCGCGGAGGAGGGGGTGGGGTGATGGGGTGGGATGGCGGAGGAGTGGGGTGTGTGAGGAGGGGGTGATAATGAGGTGGTGGAGTTGGGAGCTGGCTGGCAATGGTACCGTACCAGGTGCCCTGTGAAGGTGGGCTTGGCTGGTGTGGAGGGGGTGTGGAGGGTGAGAGGAGATAGGACAGGTTAGCAGTAAGGGAAGGGAAGATGTAAATGCGGCGGGGCAGAAAAGGAGGGGTTCCGGTCAGGGGTTTCAGGTTTACATAGTTCAGGGGTTACTCTCGGGTGGAATAGCATTCTCTCCTCGAGCTATAAACATGCACTCAAACATGCAATGGCCCTGTTTCTCTTAAGCACTTTCCCAACCGACCTGCCCCCATCACCCGTCCCTAGCCAGCCATCATCACTGGCGACACACAGCACCGCCACCCCCTTTCATACAACCCAACCCAGCACCCATCACCCACTACCACCACCACCCACTACCACCACCACCCAGCGCCACCACCTGGCACCCAGCGCCGAGGTGCCATGGCCCCCAGGGTGTGGGCGGACCTTGTTGGCCTTGGAGTCGAGCTTGCCGTAGGGCAGCTTGTTGAGCGCGTGCACTGGCGCAAGCGACCACACGGTTGTCACGTCAAGGCATTGTTGCGTTGAGATGAGTCGTTGCATTGCCACGACATGAATGCGGTGTGGACAGCAGGGCAATGTCGGAGTAAAAAGGGTGGGATGCGGAGGAAGGGGAAAGGGCCGGGGGGCGGGGGTGGGGGGGGGGGGGGGGGGAAGAGAATGGTGAGTGGAGGGCGGAGAGCAGGAGAAATTATTGATTGAGGTGGAGAAGGAAAGATGAGGGTAGGGGAAATGGGACATAGATGTCAAGAAAGGCAGCCGTCACAGCGAACGAGACAAACATGTGTAGAGAAACAAGAAAAAGGGCTGTGTTATTGACAGGAAACACAGAAACGGATATCAGGAGGGAGAGAAGGAGCGAGGACAGGTGAATGGCAGGCTTGGTTGGGAATGGGTTTGGATGGGTGGGAACAGGTGGGGATGGGTGGGGGTCGGCGGCTTGCACCTGGAATGTCGGTGGCACCAATGTCATCAAGATCCCTCCTGGCATCAAACCGTAGATCAGGGCCGATGGATATCCACCTGCCCGCCGGGTTTGATGAACACAAGAGGCGTGGTGATTGGCATGCCGGCAGGGGAAGGGGAAGAGGAAATGGGGAAAATGGGACTAGGAAGTGCTGGGGTTGGTGGGTGGGGGTTTTGAGGAGGATGGAGCAATGCAAGGGCAGGTAAAACAGCAGCACCACGACCTCCATTCCCACTCCTTCCCACTAGCCCCGTCCATCGTCCCTCCTTCCCATCCCTTTTCCACACCCCTTCTCCTTCCCCTCCAGTCTCTCCCCCCCACCCCCGTCTCACAGTGCGCGGCGGCGGGCTTGGTGCCAGTTCCCCAAGATGATCTCTGCCACTGTGCGTCCGTTTCAAAGGTCCCTCAACCCCCCACCCCACCCCGTCTCCATCCCCACCCCCTACTCACAGTGCGCGGCGGCGGCCTTGGTGCCAGTTCTCTCGTATAATCCCCGCCACTGTGCGCCCCTTGCCCACGCCCGCACCGTCCCCCAGAAAGAACCCCGCCCGCACGTTCCCCGGCAGCAGCTGCCTGTGCCGCTGCCACGTGGGCGGACCAGGGGGGGTGGGAGGGAGAGAGGTGGGGGGAGGTGGGTGGATAGGGGAGAGGAGACGGGAGAAGAAAGTGTGGAGGGAGGAATGTGAGTGGAAAGGGGTCGGGGTGGGTGCAGGGGGATGCTTGAGGCGTATGCAGGGAGGCGTGCTTCAAAACACCCATTTAAGCCCACTCATCCCATTACATCCCACCCCACTTCAACCCACACCATTACTTCCCACCCCATCAACTCTTCCCTCCCCCCTCCCCCTCCCTCCTTCCGCCTCTCCCTCGCCCCTTCCTCCTCACCTGGCTGGCATAACAAATCGTTTCCAGCTGCAATGACGACAGCGCGTTGGCCGCCACGTCATCCTGCCCCGTCAGCAGCGCCAGCTTGGACGGGTCGATGTCGGGCGGCTGCACGCCTGCCAGCGAGGCAGTCTCCACCACGGGGTCGGGGTGTGGGCGGCCCAGAGATAGCTTTGCAGGGCGCTGGCGGAAAAAAAAAGTGTGTGAGAAAGAGGGAGGGGGGAAAAGAGAGGGAGAGGGAGAGGAAGGATAAAGAGAGGGAGAAAACGGTAGAGCTTGACCTGTTCATGACCGGGGTAGAGGGAGAGACGTAGGGGGGCAGAGAGGGAGGATGGAGAGAGCAGGGTGGGCTTGATCCCAAGGCATTGAGTTGGGAGAAGCACAGGTGGAAAGCAGAGGAGAGAGTGGTGGCGGGGAGGCTGGGGAAGAGAGGGGGAAAGCACAAGGACCAGGAGGGCACAGAGAAGAGGGTGGGGTGTGAGGAGGGTAAGTAGTGAGCGCAGGTGGGTGTGAAGGATGAGGATAGGAGGGAGAACGGAGGGAGAGCCGCGGTGAACAAAGGTCGTGAGCGGAGAGTGGGACGAGGGACGAGAGATGAAGAATGAGGGTAAGGGGCAGCGGTGGGGGTCACAGATGACTCACGTAAGCTGCGAAGGTCTCTCCCGCCACGCCTTCTTCGTCCTCCTCGTCTTGAATCAACGCCTGCTCGCCATGCACATACAGTACGGCACACCCAGGCCCACACGCATGCAGCATGCCATACACACCATAACACGTGTCATGGCGCATGCGGCAAGCACACAACAGGCGAGTTCAGAGGAAACAACCAAGTCAGCACGTGCTGCGTATAGGGACAAGGGCAATAGCGGAAGCACACTCTCCTGCACATCGAATGTACCAGCAGCAGCACGGCCCACTCGCACGCACCTCTTTCGCGTCTGCCTCCACCTGCCTCGCCTCCTCCCCCGCCGTCGGCCCGCCCGCCCTCCCCCCTGTCATCATGCGCCGTAAGCTCGCATCCACCTCCGCTTGCGCCGCGCGCAAGCCCTCCCCCGCCATTCCCCCGCCCAGGCCCGCCAGGCTTCCCCCCGCCCCGGGCATCCCCCCCATCCCCGCGGGCCCATACGAGCCCATCCCCCCATCCCCTCCCATGGTAGGTGTGGACGCGGCGTAATAGCGCATCCCTAACCCATCCACTCTCCGCCTCTTCGCCTGCTCGCTTTCCGCGGCCGCCGCAGCAGCAGCAGCAGCCGCGGTCGCACCTGTCGCCGCGGCTGCCATTGTCGCGCCTGGTGCGGAGCCGTGAGGGGCGTGCGACGAGAGCATCATCTGGGAAGCCTGCTGCTGTTGGTGCTGTTGCTGATAGTATTGGGCTGCGCTTCGTTGCGCTGCGCCGGGATAAGCAGCAGCGCCGGCAGAACCACCGGCACCGGCATTCCCGGTGCCGCGAGCAGCGGCAGCTGCGGCTGCAGCAGCGGACGCAGAGGCCGCGGACTGAGCTCCCGCACTGGTGCCGCCGGCGTTACCACCGAGGGACGCTGCCATTTCGTTAAGCGATCGCATGTACGCGGCGAGCTTCGCATGGTCGACGGAGAGGTGCGAAGAGCAGCGCGGGCACTGGAAGCGCGAGAGGCCGACGGGCACGCTGAGCACGGCATGGCAGTGCGCGCATGGCAGCTGGATCTTATCCGTTGTCGACGCGGGGAGAGACGCCGCGCCAGACGCGCCGTCCGCGGATTGATAGCCGTACGACCCCGAAGAAGGGTACTGGTTCATGGTTGCCTAACCTAGGTGCGCGCCGAGTCGGCTTTCTAGGGATAGTTCGCCTAGAGAGATTTGTGAAAGGTGGACCCACGCACTGACAAAAGTGAGATGAGTCACAACTCTGGTGAGCACGAAAGACTGGGATGACTCCGAATTCAGGTTCAAAAAGATGTGGTGAATGGATGACAGGGCTCGGTCGAAAAGGGTTGGGATGGGCTTTCTTCCCTTCGCTCGAACATTCAAATTCTTGATTTTCGCATCGATCGCGCGACATGTTTTCCGTCAGCACGACCGAGCGGTCCCGTGCCGTCGGTCGCACAGCTGCAACCATTTCGTGAGTCGCATGAGATGCTTCGAATCGAACCTCGCCTGCCGGGGCCGTCCTTGTCGCAACACCGCTCCAGTGTCGTCTTGATATTGAAGCATTCTATTCACGCACGGTACGCCAATGTGTATACACACTTTGATCACACTTACAAGTCATCTACTTCAAACACGCTCAACTACACCAAACAGATCTGAACAGCAACTTCATAGCAAAAAAGGGCCCACGGAAAGCATGTGAACAGAACACCCACACTTCACTGAGTAAGTTTTGCCCGCTAAGAGCACAATATAATAAACACCATGCCACTTTCATGCACCCGCTGCTCTGCTCCCATTGCTGAACAACCAAGAATACTACAGTTGCTGCAGGGTTTCCAGAATCTGCGAAGGCACGCCTTCATTACCAACAGTGCCCCCTTTATGCGAAACCCAAAGCCAGCCTGATACACCACCTGTCTACACTGGACACAAAACAGTAAATAAGATCAACTGTACAGCAAAGGCCTCAAAACAAGCCACCCTTGCATCACATCACTCTCCACCCACCTCCAATCACAACCCCCCATCCTCTTTCCACACACCCCCCTCATCCCTCCCCTCCACCCCCTCCTCACTCTCCCCACTCTCCTGCTCTCCCCCACTCCCACTCAACTCCCTCTGCATGAGCCTTCTCCTGCGCTGGAAGGTGAGCAGCGGTGCAAGGGGGTGGTCCTGCTGCAAGGTGGTGTAACCCGCAGAGGAGTAGAGCAGGAAGGGGGGGATATCCACGAGGCGGCAGTGCAGGCACATGGACGTGGCTCCCAGGGTCGCTGCCAGCTCCTCCACTGCTGACAGCAGCACTCGCGCGATGCCCAGCCTGATGGTGGGCGAGATGCGGTGGAGTGAAACGGGGTAGGTTGAAGTGAGGTGGGGTGGAGTGTGGTGAGTAAGGGTGAGTTTAAGGTGGTTTCAGGGTGGATGAGACAAGAATGTCAATATATGGCAGACGTTCGGAAGCCACACCAGGGAGAGAGGTTCTTGGTGGTGGTAAGATGGCTATAACTGATTCCTCATGCACACTCCCTCTTGCACACTCCCTCTTGCACACCCCCTCTTGCCCATTCCCTCTTGCACACCCCCTCTTGCCCATTCCCTCTTGCACACCCCCTCTTGCCCATTCCCTCTTGCACACCCCCTCTTGCCCATTCCCTCTCCCAACTTCCATCCCGTACTCCTCACATTGCGCTCTCCCACATGCCGCCACCCACTGCCTGCATTGCCACCCACTGCCTGCATTGCTGGCCACTCACCGCCTGTATTGCCACTCACCGCCTGTATTGCCACTCACCGCCTGTATTGCCACTCACCGCCTGTATTGCCACTCACCGCCTGTATTGCCACTCACCGCCTGTATTGCCACTCACCGCCTGTATTGCCACTCACCGCCTGTATTGCCACTCACCGCCTGTATTGCCACTCACCGCCTGTATTGCCACTCACCGCCTGTATTGCCACTCACCGCCTGTATTGCCACTCACCGCCTGTATTGCCACTCACCGCCTGTATTGCCACTCACCGCCTGTATTGATGTCCCACGGCCATGTTGCAGAGGTAAGCAGCATGAGGCGGGGGGTCAAGCGTGGGGAAGGCAGGGCGCGCCTTGCCTGTGAGTGCCAGCTCCACCACTCCCACCACTGGCCCCTCTGGTGGCGACGCTGTTGCTGCTGCGCCTGGCTGTAGCGGCTGCTGCTGCAGGCTGTAGCGACGAACGTCGGAGGAGGGGGAAGGCGGGGGAGAGGAGGAGGAAGAGGAGGAAGAGGAGGAGGAAGAGGAGGAGGAAGCAGCACCTGGCTCGCTGTCGGAGGAGTGAGGAGGTTGCTCCAGAGTAGCCACTAGCATCACGCCATGTGGCACAATGCGTAGTCGGCCTGCCACATAGACAGAGATCTGGTGGGCGGGGAGAGGTGCGACGTGTGAAGGGGAGAGGGGGGGAAGGGAAGGGGGGGGCACCATGTGTACAGCACAGAGAAGGTGAGCAGCATGGCATAGGCTAATCCCCGCTGACAACAGTCCATCCCTACCCATCCCAAAGTTTGCAGGCAGAATCAGCAACCCTAACCCAGAAACCCTAGCTTCCAGCCCAAACCCCCCTCTCGCAGAAACCCGAGAATCGCACCTGCATGCGCAGCAGCGGCTTGAACGTCATGCCGCCCATGTAGTCCATGAACGAATCCGTCAACATCTCCGTCAGCGCTGCCACGTGGCACCCCGCCATTGGCCGCACCACGACTGTGCGCCCCCTCGTCTCCGCCCGCCTCTCATACCCGCGAATAATCGCCACTCTCGCCGCCTCCTCCTCTTTCCCAACGGCATCACTACCGCCGTACCCGCTACTGTACGCTCCGGTGTCTCCCTGACTGGGGTATTCCCAGGGCGAGCTTTCTAGTAACCCTCCCGTTGTATTCTCCCCTGCGGCCTGCCCGTTCCGTTTCTCCTGTTCGTCCATCAGGTCCCTCGCTTTAGTCACGGCCTCCCACGTGGCACCCCAGTCGCGCCCAATCACTCCTTTTGAATCGCCGCTACTAGCCACCACTGCAGCCGCTGCTGCTAGTGCTTCCGCTATTGTTCGCGGTGCTTCTGGCGCTACCGCCGGTGCTCCCGCTGTTGCCGATGTTCCGCTAGACGCCTCCGCTCTGTCTCCCGCTGCTGCTCCGCCTGCATTCCCCTGCTCCCGCCGTTCCCGCATTACCCGTAGCACCGGCGCGTCCAGGTCCGCCGCCTCCGCCTCCCTCGCTACCCATTCCGCGGGCGCGCGTCCCCCTCTACCCTCGTCTTCCGCTGGCCCTTCGCCATTCCCGCCTCCAAGTCCCCCCGCGCGGGTGACCAGCCACCTTGGCGGAGCATCCGCGGAACGGCGCCCGCAGCCCTTTCGGGAAACGGCTAATGCGCGCTTAGAATGCGGTATTCTTCCGCCAATGAACTCGAACCTTCCGCAGCGTCGCCGCGTTGACGATGCATGGCGAGGTTGAAAGTCGACGTGGCTGACGACCGCGATGCGATCAAAGCGACGAGGGTCAAGGGTGGTGGAGGCGCGGATCGAAGGGGAGTAGCCTCTGCCTGGCGCGCCAACGGCAGCCATTAGCGCCATCTCGGGTGATGCAGAAGGCTCGCGGAGTTGCTAGGGGACACTTGTGATTGGGGTATGTGTGGGTGTTGAACGATATGTGAGAAAGTGGTCTGGTACAGAATTGTTGGCCGAACCGAACTGACGCGTGCCTCGGGTGTACTCGCTAAGGTCATGCTACAGTAAGGAGTTTAATTCCTTCCATTACGGGTGATCATAACACTTTAGCTCTCTACATTGCGATCGTTGCATGTCTTAGAATCGCTTTCTGTTTTTCCCAAGTCCTTTTCGTTGTGCTGCCAATCACTCTGACTTCGGGTCAACGAGGGTTGACCTCTCGTTGACCCGTCCGACTAATGTAGCTTCACGACTGCCAACCAGACCACACTTAGAGCGTGGAACATACTGGGGGAAGTCGAAGAAGTGCGGACCGTCACCGCTCTGCAACGTACTATAACTCATAAAGCATAGCAGTAAACATGCGGACCATTTTTTACCGTATCAAAAGTTCGGACTTTTTGGTAAGTTCCCAGGTTGTTCACGCGGACATGTGGTCTGGGTTCGTCCTCTCTGGGGCCAAACCAAATCCATTGGCTTGGCACGCCAAATTTGTTTACCCCTCGCCTCGCCCCTCAACCAAGCGATTGGCTGGGCGCGCCTTTTCTTTGGGCCTTCCCCCTCAGGTGCTCACCATCACAGCTAGCAGCACGCAAGCAAGGCAACTGGGGTGCACGTAAAGAGCCAGCGCTCCACAACTTCATTCAGAGCACTTATTCCTAGTAGTACCACTTGTGGCGCTCATTCTCGTTCACAGCCAAAGATGGCACTCGCCCCTCCCTTCGCCGTGCGTGGTATTCGTCTTCCCCACGCAGCGCTGCTGTGCCTCGTCATTTCCATCGCGCTCTCCGCGCCGTGCGCCGTGCGCGGCGCGCAGGGTCCCGCCGCGTCGTCGATAGCGGCGGCACTGGCGAGCGCGTCGTCGTCGTCGTCGTCGTCGCCGTCGCAGTCGTTCGACGTGTCGCTGCTCGTCCTCAATGCCGCCGGGCTGCTCGCCAGCTGCCCGCGCGCGCGCCGCTCACTCTCTTCGCTCCCACCGACGCCGCGTGGCGCGCCGCATTCCACGCCCTCGCCCTGCCGTGCGTCAACGCCTACTTTTCCTTCCCCGGCGGCTTTGGATCCGGCGGTGGCGGCGGCGGCGGCGACACGCTCGTAAGCCCGGGAAGTTCGGGCGGCGCGTCAGACGGGTTGAGTTTGGAGAACATGACGCTTCCCGTCGACAACTGGACCATGCCCGAAATCGGAGCGCTGGATTTCGATCCAATCATCGCCGCATTAAGCGCCGTCTATTCCGACGACGGGTCGCCCGCGTCGCTGGCGGCGCTGGCGAAGGAGCGGCCCGAGGCGCTGAAGGCTCTGTCGGAGCTCCTCGCGTTCCACATGGCGACGTCGGCGCTGGACGCGGCGGCCATCGCGGCGCAGTTCACGGCAGATGCGGGCAACCTGACGACGGTGAACGGGCAGGGGCTGTGGATCAACTACAACGCGAGCCAGTCCGCCGCGCTGCTCAACGCGTACTCGCCCACGCAGCGCGCGCTGATGAGCGAGGGGGTACTCGTGGCGGATGACGACACCACCGACGGGAATGACGGCACGTTGTTCTTCCCAACGGCACGACCATCGCCGCTAACGGAACCGTCCTGTTTGACCCCGAGACGATCCCGTATTGGGTGAAGCGGAATGGCACGGAATTCTACATGAACGGCACGATCGCCGTCGCTAACGGAACCGTCCTGTTTGACCCCGCGGATAGCCTGTCTTGGATTGAATACCATATGAGCCTGCTTGACAACGAGCCCAACGAGCAGTCGCCTCCCTCCAACAGCTCCGCGCAGCCGCACATTCAATCTGCAGAGCCTCCCCTGGCGGACCTCGCCCTCACCGAAAAGGCCCCCCGGCGCCTGGCGAACATGTACGCGTCGTGGGGCATGTGGGGCATGGGGGGATTCGCGGAGTGGGAGGCGCGGCCCCCCTACTTGAGCGAGTGGAGTGAGGAGGAGCAGCAGCAATTGGCGGGCAAGGTGACGCGGTGGATGAACCGGATGGTGCCGGGGCTGACCCTCTCCGGCAGTAAGTACCTCGCGTGGCTCAACGCATACGAGGACGCGCAGGAGGAAGGCTCTGATACCATGTGGGAGCAGGCTGGCAGCGACATGAACGTGGCTCGGGTGGTGTGGGCTGATGTGATGGAGAGCGCTGGCATGGTGGTGCATGGCGTGGATGGCGTTCTGTTTCCCCGCCTCAGAGACAACCCGTATAATAACACGAACATGACAAGTAACGGCACGGCGGCCAATGGAACCAGCGACGGGAAAGCGAATGGGAGCAGTTATGCCTATGGGAGTGGAAGGGCGGATGGCAGTCCTGCCAGCAGCAGGGACTCCAGTGGAGGAAGCAGCAGCAAGGGAGATATTAGTAGCAGCAGCACAGTGCCCACTGCGGGGACAGCTGCGACTGGCACACCTGGAAATACCTGTCAAAGCATATGCATGTTATATATATGTAGGCTGTAGTGGGGTAGCCAATATGGGGTACAGCCCCTTTTAGGGTTTCATACTTGTACCCAACTCTCTCATAGTTCATTCACTCCTGCTGCTAGATTCTAACATGGTTTCTGAGCACTAGGTCCGTAGGACCGTTTTTTTTTTTCGGGCCCACCTACCGTTGCGGTTACCGCGCTACCCCACGTGTTGTCCTGCCTGCCTTGCCTTGTGACGTGCTGCGCTCCGCGCGCCGTCCTGCAGCCCTCAGGCTGCCTACTGCTGCCCTAGGCCAGCGCGCCGCCCCTGCAGGTCTGTAAGGCCCGCGCGCCGCCCCTGCAGGCCCGTCAAGCCCACGAGCCGCCCCTGCAGGTCCGTCAGGCCCGCGAGCTGCCCCTGCAGGCCCGTCAGGCCCGCGCGCCACCCCTGCAGGCCCGTCAAGCCCACGAGCCGCCCCTGCAGGTCCGTCAGGCCCGCGAGCCGCCCCTGCAGGTCCGTCAGGCCCGCGAGCCGCCCCTGCAGACGCGTCAGGCCAGGTCGCCGCCCCGCGCGTCGCGCCCGCTGCCCGCGCGTCGCGCTGCAGCCCCGCGCGTCGCGTCCGCTGCCCCGCGCGTCGCGCTGCAGCCCTGCGCGTCGCGCCTGCTGCCCACGCGTCGCGCTGCAGCCCCGCGCGTCACGTTCACTGCCCGCGCGTCGCGCTGCAGCCCCGAGCGCCGCGTTCGCAGCCCGCGCGTCACGCTGCAGCCCCGCGCGCCGCGCCCGCAGCACGCGCAGCGCGCTGCAGCCTCGCGCGCCGCGGCTGCCCCTGTTCGTCGCGGCTGCCCCTGGACGCCGCCCCTGCCTGCCTGCCACAGTCGCTCCTGCAGCAGCTGCCACGGAGCGCCCTGCCGCAGTCGCGGCCCTGCCCTGCAGCAGCTGCCGCGGAGCCTCCTGCCGCCGTCGCGGCCCTGCCCTGCAGCAGCTGCCGCGGAGCCTCCTGCCGCCGTCGCGGCCCTGCCCTGCAGCAGCTGTCGCGGAGCCTCCTGCCGCCGTCGCGGCCCTGCCCTGCAGCAGCTGCCGCGGAGCCTTCTGCCGCCGTTGCAGCCCCGCCCTGCAGCTGTCACGGCCCCGCCCTGCAGCAGCTGACGCGGACCTGCCCTACCGCCGACGCGGCCCTACTCTGCCGCAGCTGTCGCGGCCCCGCCGTCGCCGCCGTCGTGCGCCTGCCCTTCCCGCCACTGGTGAGCACCTGCCTTGTTCGCGCACTGCCGCGCCATCTGCCTACCTGCCTGCCTGCCTGCCTGCCTGCCTGCCACGCCTGCCTGCCTGCCAGCCACGCCTGCCGCGCCTGCCCTGCCTGCGCTGCCACTGCTGCTACTGCTGCTCCTTCTGTTACTACTGCTAGGCTCTTACTGCTGCTGCTACTGCTACTACCGCTACTGCTACTACTGGCGGTGGCCAGATGCAGCTCCAGCGACGTTCCGCGTGAGTCTCTCACGCCCCAGCAGCTACGTGAGTGGTACGCTAGTTGGGTTTGTGGCGGTAGCCGTCGTGGCTGTCGCCCTGGAGCTGGTCAGTCGAGAGCGTCTGGCAGTGGCCTACTGCAGCTGCAGCGGCGTCCGCGCGAGACACTTACGCCCCAGCAGCTTCCTGAGTGGTACGCTCAGAGTAGAGGGTCTTTGAGTACAGTTCGCTGCCCGTACGTCATTCGCACAGGTGATCGGACTGGTCAAGCTTGCGGGATGCCTGGTCACACACAGTCCCGCTGCTTCGCCCGTCTGAGCGACGCCTGGCGTACCGAGTTTGGCGACGAGGCTGAGCTCCCCACCTGGCTGGAGCTGCTTGGACAGAGGGTAGATATCTTTGCTCTTGACTATGATGCTATTCTCACTGCCATGTATGCATTGCCTACTCGTGCTGACCGTGCCTGTTCCCTGTGCGTACCGCCTGACCCAGGTATAGGGTCTGCCGCTCTAGGTGCTGGTGAGGCTGCTGCTCTAGGTGCTAGTGCGTCTCCTGCTCTAGGTACTGGTGAGGCTACTGCTCCAGGTGCTGGTGAGTCTGCTCTCTCTGGTACTGCGCCTGCTGAGGCCTTGTACACCTTCACACTTGACTCCGGTGCTTCTTGCTCCTTCTTTCGCGACAGCACCACCCTCACGCCGCTCAGTCGGCCGGTTGCACTCTCCCTGGCAGACCCCTCTGGGGGTCCAATCCGTGCGACCTCCACCACTGTCCTCCCTTGTCCTGCTGTCCCGTCCGGCACACTGTCGGGTCTTTACCTCCCCTCGTTCTCTACGAACTTGGTGGTGGGTTCTGCGCTCCAGGACGCGGGTGTTCACCAGTTCACCCCTGCCTACGAGCGTGTGACACACTGCACGTGTGCTCAGACGGGTCGTCACCTGGCTACCTTCACTCGGCAGTCGGGGTCGGGCCTGTACACACTGACCACTGAGTCCCCTCAGGTAGCAACATCTGCGTCAGGTCAGCTAGCGGCCCCCTGCTCGTGTCGCGCCTTGTCGCACCAGACCCTCCTTTGGTACCACCACCTTGGTCACCCCTCGGTGCAGCGCCTTCGTAGCACGCACTGCCGTGTCCTTGTCTCTGGTCTTCCCAGGGTTCTCCCTCCCCTCCCACCCTCGCCTGCTCCTCCCTGTCTTCCCTGTGTCGAGGGGCGGCAGCGCGCCGCTCCTCACTCCTCCTCGTTCCCTCCCACAGAGGCTCCCATGCAGACTCTCCACCTGGACGTGTGGGGCCCAGCCCGCGTCCGTGGACAGGGCCACGAGTGGTACTTCCTGCTGGTCGTCGACGACTACACGCGTTACACCACGGTCTTCCCCTTGCGCACCAAGGGTGAGGTCCCTGATGTTTTGATCCCTTGGATCCGCGCTACTCGTCTCCAGCTCCGCGAGCGGTTCGGGACGGAGTTTCCCGTCCTGCGTCTGCACTCTGACAGAGGTGGGGAGTTTTCCTCCGACCTCTTGGCAGCCTTCTGTGCGGAGCACGGCATCCGCCAGACGTTCACGCTTCCGGCCTCTCCGCAGCAGAATGGGGTTGCTGAGCGCCGCATTGGCCTGGTCATGGAGGTCGCTCGTACCTCCATGATCCATGCGGCTGCCCCCCATTTTCTGTGGCCGTTTGCGGTCCGGTACGCCGCGCATCAGCTCAACCTCTGGCCCCGTGTCTCCTTGCCAGAGACCTCGCCCACACTGCTGTGGATGGGGAAGGTTGGCGATGCGTCGCGTTTCCGGGTCTGGGGTGCTCGTGCCTTTGTCTGCGATACCACCGCGGACAAGCTCTCCGCCCGCGCTGTTCCCTGTGTCTTCCTTGGCTTTGTCCCTGACGCGCCTGGTTGGCAGTTTTACCACCCCACCTCGCGCCGTGTCTTCCCCTCTCAGGATGTCACGTTCGACGAGTCGGTTCCCTTTTACCGTCTCTTCCCCTACCGCACTGCCCCTCTCCCCCCCCCTGCCGCTCTTCCTCGCTCCAGGTGCTCCCCAGGTAGACCCCCTCCCCGCTCCCGGTCCTGCTCCCTCAGGTGTGTCTCAGGTAGACCCTCCTCCCTTGACTGCGCCGGTTGAGGTCACTGGTGACTCAGGTCTTGCTGAGGGTGGTCCTGCTCGGGGTGCTGCTTCTGGGGGTGCGGAGCCTGGGGGTGCTAAGCCTGGGGGTGCGGAGACTGGAGGTGCTGAGCCTGGGAGTGAGGAGTCTGGGGGTGCTGAGCCCGGGGGTACTGAGTCTGGGGTTGTTGCACCTGGGGGAGCTGAGGCGTCTGGTGAGCAGTCTCCCTGGGGCAGCCGTCTTCGTAGTCGCTCCGCTGGTGCCTCGCCGCTGCACTCTCGTCTTCGCCTCCCTCTCTCCCCACAGCAGCTGCGTGAGTGGTACGTTGGCCGTCAGCGCGCTGCTGGAGCTAGGGGCCCTGCTGTGGGAGGCGCTGGAGCTAGTGACTCTGATACTGGAGTTGTTTCTGCTGGAGGTTCTGGAGCTGCTGAGGGTGCTGGAGCTGGAGGTTATGGAGCTGCTGAGGGTGCTGGCGCTGGAGGTTCTGGAGCTGCTGCGGGTGCTGGCGCTGGAGGTTTTGGAGCTGCTGCGGGTGCTGGCGCTGAGGGTTCTGAGTCTGCTGTTGCGCGGTCTCCTTGGAGTAGCCGCCTTCGTCCGCGTGTGCCTCTCACCTCCCAGCAGCTGCACGACTGGTACGGTCGCCGTCAGGGTCGCGCTTATGGAGCTCGGGGCTCTGCTGCTGGAGGTACTTCTGCTGACGTCACTGGAGCTGGGAGTGGTGCTGGTCCCGGAGGTGCTCGTACTGGAGGTACTGGAGCTGCTGGGGCTGGAGGTGCTGAGTCTGGGGGTGCTACTGCTGGAGACACTGAGACTGGAGACCCTGAGACTGGAGGTGCCGGTTCTGGGGGTGCTGCTGCTGGTGGAGCTGGTACCTGGAGGAGCTGGCGCTGAGGGTTCTGGAGCTGCTGGAGCTGCTGGAGGTGCTGGAGCGGCTGGCGCTGGTGGCACCGCACAGCCGCGCCTGTTCTTTGCTCCACCGTCTAACTCTGTGCTTCGCCAGGTTCTTAGTCTCCCTTCGTCTACTGGTCTTCCGTTACAGCCTGGCTCACCGGTGCCTGCTCCTTCTCCATACACTGAGCAGACAGGGGGTTTTACTGAGCGTCGTGAGCCTGCGTCGCGTCCTGTCTCGCCTGTCCATTCTGGTAGTTCCGGTCGTCGTTTTCCTCGTTCGCGTCAGCCGGCTGTCCCCGGCACCCACCTCGTAGTTCGTCGTCCTTCCTCTCCTCCGCAGCGTGTTCCCTTGCCGTCCCCTCCTGCGCCTTCTCTGCCTACCGTTCTTGAGCCGGAGTCTGACCGCACCCGTGCTGCTCACCCTACTGTCACGCGTCTGCTAGCCACAGTTGTCACTGACCCGTCGTTTGAGTCTGCTGCTGCGTCTGCCTTTGTTGCTGAGCTTGTTGACTTTGCTGCTGCCTGTCGTCTAGACTACGCCGCTAGTCTTGTTGCTGAGTCTGAGTCTGTCTGTCCTCCGTCCGTCGGGGGTGAGTGTGCTCTTGGCACGGACGTCCTTGAGGACAGACAGGAGGACCTTGAGTGTCTTGCAGCCGCTGCGCCTCATCTCGTGTCCATGCTGCTTGCCCCTGAGGGAGACCCGGATGCTCCAGACATCCCGACCCCGCGCTCTTACGCTGAGGCAATCGCGGGTGAGTACTCCTCTCAGTGGCAGACAGCCATGGACGCAGAGATGGCATCCTGGAAGTCCACAGGCACCTACGTCGACAAGGTTCACCCTCCTGGGGCGAACATCGTCAGTGGCATGTGGATTTTCAGGGTGAAGCGGCCGCCAGGTTCTCTGCCTGTCTTCAAGGCTCGTTACGTTGCTCGAGGTTTCAGTCAGCGAGAGGGAGTTGACTTCTTCCAGACCTTCTCCCCCACCCCGAAGATGACCACTCTTCGGGTGCTGCTGCACGTTGCCGCTCAGCGTGACTACGAGCTTCACTCTCTTGACTTCAGCACAGCTTTCTTACAGGGCAGCCTGCACGAGGAGATCTGGCTGCGCCGCCCTCCTGGCTTCACTGGGTCGTTCCCTCCTGGTACCCAGTGGAGCCTCCGGCGGCCGGTCTACGGTCTCCGCCAGGCGCCGCGTGAGTGGCACGACACACTGAGGACGACACTTGCGGCTCTTGGGTTCGCGCCTTCTACTGCTGACCGGTCGCTGTTTCTGCGCACCGACACTTCGCTGCCGCCGTTCTACATTCTCGTGTATGTCAACGACTTGGTCTTTGCCACTGCTGACACTGAGGCTCTCGCCCTGGTGAAGTCGGAGCTGCAGAAGAGACACACGTGCACAGACCTGGGTGAGCTGCGCAGCTACCTTGGCTTGCAGATCACCCGGGACAGAGCACGCCGCACCATCAAACTGACTCAGTCACACATGGTGCAGAAGGTCCTTCAGCGCTTCGGCTTCACCTGGTCCTCGCCACAGCACACTCCTCTGGCCGCAGGCCACTCGCTCTCAGCTCCACCTTCGGACGAGTCCGTAGAGCCGAGTGGCCCGTACGCAGAGCTAGTGGGCTGCCTCATGTACCTGATGACCTGCACTCGACCTGACCTTGCGTACCCTCTTGGCCTTCTGGCTCGCTGCGTGGCTCCTGGTAGGCACCGAAAGGTGCACATGGATGCTGTTAAGAGGGTACTGCGCTACTTGTGCAGTACATCGGGCATGGGCCTCGTGCTTGGAGGGCGGAGCCCATTTGTCCTCACTGGGCACTCTGACGCTTCTTGGGTTGATGACCTAGCTACGCAGCGGTCGTCACAGGGTTACACCTTCAGCCTTGGCTCTGGTTCAGTTTCCTGGTGTCTACACGCTCGTCTTCAGTTCTCGGCTCCAGTTGTGAGGCTGAGATCTACGCCACAGCCATGGCTGCACAGGAGCTTCGCTGGCTCATCTAGCTGCTGACCGACCTGGGAGAGCGGCCTCGTTCTCCTCCAGTGCTGTACGTGGACAACAAGACTGCCATTGCCTTGTGTCAGGAGCACAGACTGGAGCACAAAACGAAGCACATCGCTCTGCGTTACTTCCTTGCTCGAGAGTTGCAGCAGCGTGGTCAGTTTCGTCTTGCTCACATGGCCACTCGGGCCAACACTGCTGATATATTCACCAAGGCACTTCCGTCTGGTGATCATCAGCGTTTTTGTACTTTGTTAGGCCTTGTGCCCACGTTTCCTCACTTGCTGTAGACTTTGCTTGTACTGTGATCTATATATATACCTGCATGCTTGCTTTGCTAGGTAGAGATCACTGTGCTGTTGTTGTTGCATATATACCTCTGCATGTGAACTGGCCTTGTGGCCCTTTGCTTGTGCTCAGTGTGTGTGGTGACGTTGTGATCCACCCTGAGCTTGCTTTGCTTCTCTTGACTGGTCTTGTGACCCCTTGTTCTCCCCCACTTTGCCTATGGGGGTGTGTCAAAGCATATGCATGTTATATATATGTAGGCTGTAGTGGGGTAGCCAATATGGGGTACAGCCCCTTTTAGGGTTTCATACTTGTACCCAACTCTTTATAGTTCATTCATTCCTGCTGCTAGATTCTAACAATACCAGTGCTAGTGGTGAGCTTGTTCATCCTCTCTCTTCCCACCTTCTCTTCTATTCTCGCAAATCTCCTCTCCATTTCTCTTCCATTCCTTCAACTTCCTCTCCTGTACTGTATGTTTCTGGGCATACAGCTTATACAGCATGATTCTGAGGTACGGTACCAACCTTCTCTTATCCCTACTCCCAACTAATCAGCCCTTGCTTGGTTCTTACCTCCCCCTTCCACAGGTCATCGAGGCATGCTCCCACTCTACACTTTGATCCTTGCAATCGCAGCTGTTCTCACACTTAGAGCGTGGAAGATCCGTGTGAACAAGTCTTTGGTTGCCCGATTACGACGGTAACCACTTTCGTGACTCTCGTCATTTTCGGAGATTCTGATTTGCAATCTAGAGTGGTATTGTGTGTTACCTGACGAAATTCGCCTGAGGCCAAACGATCAAGTGAAGATACCAAAACACTTGTTCATAAGGATCTCCGATTTCGGTTTATACTATGGTACTTCTGGAGGTTGCGAGCAGCAATTGGTGCCGGGTGCGCTATTGATGTCTAATTGCATCGAGATATCCATGACTATCTATGGTACAATGACAGGGTCACTTCAGAGGCCCGGGCTATCAGAGTGCACAGGTGGAGGGCCATATCTGGGTGAGAAGAAAACATCTTACCAGTCCCAGGACTTCAACATTGTCAATGGACAGGTTTTGCTGGCTTCAGTGTTGAATAACCTTCGCAAAGCTAGACCTACCGTATTCAATTATTCCTCGACCTTTTCCTTACCCTTGGGCTGGCATGTGAGCTTGTGCGAGGGCCAGTGGGCCCTCTGGCACTCCCTGCTGCAGTAGGCAGCCTTGCCACACCGCGAGCATAGCTTCAGCTGCACCCCCGCCCCTTCCACCTTGCCACACTGTGCCGACGCACACCCACGCCGCCCTCCCTTGTCACCGTGTCCCTCAGCTGTAGCAGCACCAGCAGCGTCAGCAGCGGCAAGGGCGTCCACCTTCCCCTGGGGGCAGTAGCTGGTCTCCCCCAGCAGCATCTCCCTCAAACACGCCAGAGGATTCACCCCCCCCGGCCACGGCTCCAGGTACGACGCCCCTGCCCTCCCCTTCTCCTTCCCAGCATCCTTCCCGGCAGCCCTGAGAGCTTCATCTTCCATGATCGCACGCCTCATGCCCTCACAGCAATCCTCTGACTCCTCTCTCCCCACACGCCCCACTCCTTTCCCTCCTCCCATCTGCAGCGGCGAGTCGTGGGCCTCCACAGCAGGCCACGCTCTCCCAGCCGCAATGCACCAGCTGTCCACCTCCTCCCACATCCTCCACTCCTCCTCCCCCTGCTGCTGCTGCCCCCCCCCTTCCCCATCGGTGTCGACAGGTTCCAGAATTTTTGGAATGGCGTTCTCCTTGCTCATGTGCAGCATGCCCACGAAGAGCAGCCTCAGGCGCTTCTCCTCTGCCACGCCTTCCAGCAGCGGCGCCACCAGTGAGTCCGGGACCACCGCAGGGACAGGAGGCACGTGTAGCTTCTCCAAGAGGGATTCGAAGGTCGCGGAGCGGGCCGGGGAGAGCGAGAGGAGGCAGTGCAGCAGCGCGGATGAGGGGCGGTAGGCGAAGGACGCGGCGATCGCTGTGTGCTTCACAGCCCGGTAGTATTGGCAGAAGCAGCGGTAGCAGCGGCTGCAGGCAGGCACGGGAGAAATGGTGTCCGCGATCAGCTTTATAAACGCCTCCACCTCCGTTCTGGACCGTAGGATGGGCTTGATCCTCCCCTCTGCATACGGCCCCAGGGCCAGAGCAGCCTACGCTCGATCCCCGAGGCCCAAGCTGCCAGCCCAGGAGGTGATAGCCTCAAACAGAGGGCCCTTCCTGCCCTCCCTTGCCAGCTTCTTGGGGGCGAACCTTCTCAGAAACTCCTCCACGCGGTGGCCCAGCGTGGGGAAGAAGTGACCGTTCGAGGTGTCCCGCAGAGTGCTCCCGACACCAGGGCTGCGATGGGAGGTGGACGCGGCGCCCCGGCGGGGCAGGTTCGGCCGCCCTACGTTGTACTCCGTATGCATCTCCTCCTCGTCCAACCCCATGCCACCGCAAAATGCCCCCACGTGGAAAGTGTTGAGTCCCAAGAATCCGGGATCCTTCTCTACCTCTGCCACTGTCGCCCTGTCCCCTTCCGGAAAGTCCTGCCAAACCGCCCTTGCCAGACCTTCCTCGCCTGTGGCGGCCGGAAGCTTGGGCACGCCGAACCTCTGCAGCAGGTTCGGTAGGTCGTGAAGTGGATGCGGGAGCGCGGTGGCAAACCCTTGCGGGCGTAGCATCTGCAGTGCTCAGAAGAATTGACCCTGGGGCCATAAAACCGCACCCAGCGCAGCAGGCAGGTGACTCGGTACGTGAACAGTGCCACCACCGCGTCACTGTTCACCGGCACCAGCCTGGCGCCAGCGCCGGCGCCGCTTGCACTGCTGGACCCTTTGGTCCTCGGACCTGTAGACCCAGCAGCAGTAGCAGCAGGAGACACTGTTGGAGCCTCTGGTTCCACTGCTCGCTTCCCCCGACCCTGCACTCCACTGCCCTCTGTGCTTCTCTCCGCCGCTGCCAGCCTGTTCACTGCTCCCTCCACGGCAGCGTCTTCCACGCTCTCCTTGTGGCGGTGGGCAGCACAGTCGGAGAAGACGAGAGCAGCATTGTTGGCGAACATGGGCTCGCAAAAGAGAGTGGCGCACTTGAGGGCGAACTCTGTGGGGTCCACACCCGATACCACCATGCCGCTGCTGCCGGGTGGGACTCCCACAGCCGCAGTCGCTCTTCCCTCGGTGCCCTCTCCCTTACAACACTGCGAGCAGCAGCAGCGGTACTGCTCGCCTACCAGCCCTCCCTGGGCGGCAATCTCCCCCACGCGTTCCACATACTCCTCCCACTCCACCCCCCTCAACCCGTCCTTCCACTCCTCCCCCTCTCCCACCTCCCCCCCCCGACTTTCCCCTTCCTCTCCCGCCTGCCCATGCGCGTGCCTCCCCCCCGGCAGCAGCGGCAGCAGGTGGGCAGCAAAGCCGGTCTCCAGCTGCTGCTTGCCCTTCACTCCCAGCACCTGCAGCAGCAGCGACGCCACACAGTCATCCTGCGCCTGCCGCCCCGCACCAAACTGAAACGCCAGGTGGGGAAAGATCACAGAACCAGACTGGACGTGCGACCGCCAGAGAGTGACGAAGCGGGGGAACTTGGCGACAAGCACGATGAAAGCAGCCATGGACACGGCACGGCGGTAGCGCGTAAAACAGTCACTGCACAGCCAGCAGCACCACCACAGGCGAGGGCTACCTGCCGCCCTCGTGCCTCTAGCCCCAGCAGTGCCTCTGGCCCCAGCGGTGCCTCTCGCCCTGGCTGCCGCACGCGCAGCAGCTATATCATGCATGCTCAGATGATCTGCCAGCTGGCGCCTGAGATTCTGGAGGTCCAGTAGCAGGCCGACACGTGGCTCTGCCAGCCATTCGAGCATCATCCCCTCTGCTGCCACCACAGGCGCCGCGTCCACCTTCCACCGATACTGGTCTGCCAAGGAAGGTGCTGCTGTGCGCTCTTCAGCAGCAGCACTGGCAGCAGCAGCTGCAGTAGAGGCGCCAACGCCAGCAGTGGCACCGCTTGGAGGGCGGGGAGGAGGGGCGGAGAGCGGGACGGTGGCGGAGTAGGCGGTGATGGCGCGCGGGGGCTTATGGCCGAAGCGGAAGGGCGGCATGGCGGGCGGCACGGGCTGCTGCAGGTGCTTGCGCAGCGAGGCGAGGCTTGAGATGCGGAAGGTGATGGACGGGGCGGGGCGGAGCATGCGGGGGAGGCAGCAGGCGCGGAGGGAGTGCGACCACGGCAGGTGCACGTCCACGTAGTGCACCATGTGCGCGCGCGTTAGCGGCGCGTGCTCCGCGTGGAAGGGGCTGCCAGCGCTCTTGCTGCTGCCAGCCCTGCTGCTGCCGTGCTCCGCGTGCACCATCGGCCTGCTGCTGCTGCTGCTGCTGCTGCTGCTGCCGCTGCCGCCGCCGCCGCCGCTGCTGCTGCCGCTGTTGCTGCTGCTGCTGCAGGGTCCACTGTTGTTACCACTGGTAACATCGGTGCCACTGTTAGTGCCTGCGGCAGTGGCAGCGGTAGTGGTACTGTTGTCCGCTCTTGTGTCGTTGCTCATGGCAGCGGCAGGCGCAGGGGGGGCGGACGGAGCAGCAGCAGGTGCAGGAGCAGGGAGCGGGGCGAGCAAAGGAGTGGAGGCAGGGGCAGAGACTGGAGCAGGGTAAGACGAGTTATCGGATTGGAGGTTAACGTCAGAAGGCAACGATAGGGCTTCAACTTCGCTTGTAGGGCACCCGCACCAGGAGCGACCCCTGAGTCAGTTGCGACGTTGCTGCTGCTGTCGCTGGTGTTCGCAGCATTTACCCCCGTCGCCGATCTCGACTTCACTGCCAGGACTTTAATCACCGTACCCGATTTAAGCCTGGCTCTGTCGGCGGATACGGAAGGTGATAAGTACACCACTTGCCCAACAGCCATGAATCGAACAGCCTGCTTCTCGTCGACCTTGCTGCTGCTCTTTTCCGCGTCATCCTGTGTCTGCTGAGCTGGCAAGCAGCAGTGCGGCAGGTGGGACTGAAACAGCTTGTCAAATAAGCTGTTTGACGGTGATGGTATAATTCACGTGTGAAGCTGGCTGTTGGATCGTAGCCGTAGATCCGTCTTTCGCCGATTTAGTGGCGCGGTCAGTCCCAATGCTGCTCGTGTTGTTGCCACTGCCGTCAATGCTGTTGCTGTCGTTTTCAAAACAATGACTGAGCAGAGCAGCGGGGACTCTAAACCGAAGTGCGAACTCCATGATGCGGACGAGGAAGCTACTACCACGAGGTAAAAGAACTGATACGCCTAGGAGAATGCTGTTCGCCTAACCATAATCAGCCTTTTTCTGGACATGCGTCGCACATTCGCCGCTATTCTGACGTGCAGCTGATGCAACGAAAACTTGACACGGAACCCCTAATTATGTTTGGGTTGGGGGATCTGCTTGGCCTTCCCAAACATCGCCATTCCCCTGATTTCCGTGTCAGATTTTCCCAAGAACTGAGGGGGCGTTCCCACAGTTTCCCGACAAGAAAGTCTGCCCAGGCGGCTCGCAATTTGGCCAATTTCGAGAAATTTGCAACCATGCGGCTCGAAGTTCGACCACCAAGATTCCCATCAAATTGGTCGTGCAAGTGTTAATCCACAGCCGTATACGATCTCATCTGACGGCCCACGACGCCTACCGAAATGGGCTACGACCCAAACCCACGTTTCTGTGTCATTGCCCGAAGTTCAGCTACCCAGTTTCGGAGTCAATGTCATTCAATAACAAAAATGGTTCAGTGCGCCTCAGAATTTTTGGTTCTCGATTTTTCGGGCACCTTTTTACGCGGGAGTTAGAAATCTCAACCGAGTCGTTGAGTCCATCCGATTGTCAGATGTGAAGGCCTATTGGGTGCGACAATATTTTTTACGTATATACTGGTCAGAATGTAGCAATGTGGTTGTAACGGCTCGCAAGGACGCGGTGTCCAGAGTGGGGCAGTACCCCACTCTGACCACCATCCCGACAATTTTTGAGCATCCACTATGACCACCATCCCGACAATTTTTGAGCCTGGTGGGCAAACTTCGGTGTCGGGAAACTGTGGGAACGCCATCTGAGAGAACAAAACGCGGGAGATTCGAATGTAGGCTCGGGTTTCCCAAGGTTTGGCAGATTTAAAGCCCGCGGCCCAAATTGCGGGCCGCGCGGGTCAAGCTTTTAAAACTTGACGAACTAGTGTTTGTGAGAATAACGAGGAAAATGAGTTGACTAGGAAACATGTGGGTACAAGTAGGAAACCTAGAAGTGTTGTACCCTATAGTGTCTACCCCACTACAGCCTACACAGACTAAAGCATATAAGTTTGACACACCCCCATAGGCAAAGTGGGGGAGAACAAGAGGTCACAAGACCAGTCAAGCAAAGCACAGGAAGCTCAGGGTGGATCACAACGTCACCACACATTCCGAGCACAAGTTCAAGGCCACAAGGCCAGTTCACATGCAGGATTATATATAAAGGTAAACAAGCAAGTGCAGGTATAGAAAGATCACAGTACAAACAAGGTCAAGAAGTGAGCAAGTGAGGCCAAGTAGGCACAAGACCTAGCATCGTACAAAAGTGCTGATGATCACAAGGCTGAAGTGCCTTGATAAAGATATCAGCAGTGTTGGCCCGAGAGGCCACGTAAGCGAGGCGCAGCTGACCACGCTGCTGCAGCTCACGAGCAAGGAAGTAGCGAAGAGCAATGTGCTTCGTTCTGTGCTCCAGTCTGTGCTCCCGACACAAGGCCAGCATGGCCTTGTTGTCTACGTACAGAACTAGAGGAGAACGAGGCGGCTCTCCCAGGTCGGTCAGCAGGTAGGTGAGCCAGCGTAACTCCTGTGCAGCCATGGCCCCTGCGTAGATCTCGGCCTCACAGCTGGAGCCGAGAACAGAAGACGAGCGGGTAGACCGCCACAAAACAGAGCCGGAACCAAGGCTGAAGGTGTAACCCTGTGATGACCGCTGCGTAGCCTGGTCGTCAGCCCAAGAAGCGTCTGCGTGACCTGTGAGGACCACTGAACGCCGCCCTCCAAGCACGAGCCCCATGCCCGACGTACTGCACAAGTAGCGCAACACCCTCTTCGCTGCAGCCATGTGCTCTGGTCGGTGTCTCCCAGGAGCAACATAGCGTGCCAGGATGCTAAGAGGGTATGCAAGGTCAGGTCGTGTGCAGGTCATCAGGTACATGACGCAGCCAACAAGCTCTGGGTACGGGCCACTCGGCTCTACGGACTCATCCGAAGGCAGAGCTGAGAGCGAGTGGCGAGTAGACAGAGGAGTGGCCTGAGGCGAGGAGTACGTGAAGTCGAAGCGCTGAAGGACCTGCTGCACCATGTGTGACTGAGTCAGTGTGATGGTGCAGCGTGCTCTGTCCCGGGTGATCTGCAAGCCAAGGTAGCTGCACAGTTCACCCAGGTCTGTGCACGTGTGTCTCTTCTGCAGCTCGGACTTCACGTGGGCGAGTCCAGCAGTGTCAGCAGTAGCAAAGACCAAGTCGTCGACGTACACGATGATGTAGAACGGCGGCAAAGAGGTGTCGGTGCGTAGAAACAGCGACGGGTCGGCAGTAGAAGGAGCAAACCCAAGAGCCGCAAGTGTAGTCCTCAGTGTGTCGTGCCACTCACGGGGCGCCTGGCGGAGACCGTAGACTGGCCGCCGGAGGCTCCACTTGGTACCAGGAGGAAACGACCCAGTGAAGTCAGGTGGGCGGCGCAGCCAGATCTCCTCGTGCAGGCTGCCCTGTAGGAAAGCAGTGCTGAAGTCAAGAGAGTGGAGCTCGTAGTCGCGCTGAGCGGCTATGTGCAGCAGCACCCAAAGAGTGGTCATCTTCGGGGTGGGAGAGAAGGTCTGAAAGTAGTCAACTCCCTGCCGCTGACTGAAGCCTCGAGCCACGTAACGCGCCTTGAAGACAGGCGGAGAACCCGGCGGCCGCTTCACCCTGAAAATCCACATGCCACTGACGATGTTCGCCCCAGGTGGGGGAACCTCGTCAACGTAGGTGCCTGTGGACTTCCAGGAAGCCATCTCTGCGTCCATGGCTGACTGCCACTGAGAGGAGTAGGGACCCTCTATCGCCTCTGCGTAAGAGCGCGGAGTCGGGATGTCTGGTGCATCCGGGTCTCCCTCAGGGGCAATCAGCATGGACACGAGATGAGGTAAAGCAGCAGCAAAACACTGGAACTCCTCCTGCCTGTCCTCAAGGACGTCCGTGCTAAGACCACACTCACTCCCGACGGACGGAGGACATACAGACCTAGACTCAGCAACAAGACTAGCAGCGTAGTCTAGACGACGGTGAGCAGCGAAGTCGACAAGCTCAGCAACTAAGGCAGACGCAGCAGCGGCCTCAAAGGAAGGGTCAGTGACAGCAGTAGCCAGGAGACGCGTGACAGTAGGACTGGCAGCATGAAGAGAGTCAGACTCTGGGTCAGCAAGAGCAGGAAGAGAGGTCTCTGGAGGAGACGGCAAGGGGACACGCAGTGGAGCAGTGGAAGGACGCAGTGCCATCTGGTGCGTGCCCGGGACCGCAGGAGGACGCGGACGCGGAACACGACGACTAGTGCGACCAGCACGAACAGGCGACGCAGGACGAGACGCAGGCTCACGACGCTCAGCAAGACCTCCAGCAGGACCAGTGTACGGAGAAGGAGCAGGCAGTGGGGAGGCGGGCTGTAACTGTGACTCAGACTGGACAGGCGGCGGACTCTCTAAGGAAGGAGCAGGACCAGGAGAAGGCGGAAGACCAAGAACCTGCTCAAGGAGCGGAACGAAGTACGGCCGCGGCCGCGCAGCGCCTCCAGAACCAGCAGGGACAGCACCAGCACCCCCAGCGGCAGCACCAGCACCAGTAGCACCCCCAGCTGCAGCAGCGCCAGCTCCAGCACCCTCAGAAGCACCAGCTCCAGCAGCACCTCCAGCGCCAACACCCCCAGCAGCTCCAGCTCCAGCCGGACCACCGGAAGACGCAACAGCTCCAGCTCCAGCAGCTTCAGCAGCACCTACCCCAGCAGCACCGCCAGCTCCAGCACCGCCAGCAGCTCCAGTACAAGGAGCACCCCCAGGCCCAGCAGCTCCAGTACCTCCAGTACGAGCACCTCCGGGACCCGTGGCACCAGCACCCTCAGCAGCAGTAGAACCTCCAACTCCAGCAGCACCTCCAGCTCCAGCAGCACGGCTCCAGCGCCGAGCAAACCACTCGCGCAGCTCCTGTGGAGAGGGTAGCTCCCATCGGGACGAAGCACCCGAAGGACCTCCAGACCCAGTACCGCCAGACTCCACACGAGTAGGCCCAGCATCCTCAGGCTCCGCACCCCCAGTCTCAGCACCTCCAGGCTCAGCACCCCCAGACTCAGCACCCC